TTTTGGTTGCAGAAATTACGTAATAGGTTACAATATGTAAATAGTCCACCGTCTGCAGTGGAATCCAGTATAATAGAAATAGTAACAGGTGACTCCATTGATGTAGCGGTCATGAAAGCCAAACACTATTATAATTTGATGTTAGAACAAAATAGACAGGATCTGCCGTGCATTTATTTTTGGAACGCTTATTTTGGTTTACGTGATGAGTTTAACTGGAAAACGGTGCTCAATTATAAATTTTACTTTATAAATGACAACAGAATTAAGCAGTTTAATTTTAAATATCTTCATAGAATATTGCCCAGTAAAGACAATTTATGTAAATCGAAGATTAAAAATAATAATATATGTGATATATGTAAGATTCCAGATACAACTAACCACCTTTTCCTGGCTTGCAAGAAGGTTTCGCTTTTTTGGAAGATTGTATCCAAATTAATTGATAGTTCGTTTAATTTTAAAATCTTTTTGAACGAAGAAATTCTTTTAATAGGTCATGAAATAAAGAGAAGAGAAATGAATCTTGTCAATCTTATTTTAAACTTCGCTCAGTTTATTATCTATAGAAACTATATAAGAGAATGTTTTGGAAGTGAAAAGCACAGGATACATGCTGTATATTTGATAAAAGAGTTAAAGGTGGAAATTCGCCCTATCTCAATATAAAATGTAATCAAACGAAATTCGATACAAACGAAGTTAAAAAAGTTACACAAATGTTTTCATTATTTTAGTTAGTGATAATGTCACATTAGTTTCATGTTCTGTACTATGTATGATATGTTACAACTGCATGAATTCTGTATTTAAACACTGTTGTAAATAGCTGTTATTTTATGATATGAACAAATAAAGTCCCTCGAAAGAGGATAAATAGAAGAAAAAATAAAGTAAGGGTACACAATTGCATAGTATATCATTTTGAGAATACTTTTAGGGAGAGGTTTCAATCTCAACAGTACACCAATACTTTTAAACAATTTGTTGCAGATGTCACCAATATGATTTGACCAAGAGAGGTCATCAACAATAATAACATCCAAGAACTTTGCTGAAGAAACTCTCTGAATATTTACAATACCAAGTTTAATTGTTATTGAATCTTTAGGTTCTTCTTTGTTATACATAGATTGACCTCATTATCTTTTTTAACATTTTATATCGAATCATCAACTATAATTTACTGAGCATCTTTGATAGCGAAAAAAATGTGTTTTATATCCGAATTAATGAAAGTTACAGTTTACACTTAAAATTGTTTGTAAAAGAGTTCTCTTTATGTCTAATATTCTCATGATAATTTTAACGTGAAAGCTTACCGTTCGTTAATGCTCTGCTATGTCGAAAAACATGGTGAAACGGGGCCTTCAATCTTTCCCCTCATCAGCAGTGTTGACCGTGTTAACTGAATGTATCCCAGCTACCAAGGTTCACGTGTATCTTGTTCAAATTTCAGTCAAAGTAACATGTTACAACTCACTCGAAAGGTTAGTTCTTGAACATTTGATGAAGAAACAAAATGAGGTTGAAATAATTATCTTGCGCACGATCAGAAACAGGAGGGATGATGTTCTTATAGTGGCAAATCCATTATTGGCACTATATGTCGAAGCACGCAATGCACATTCGCCCCAGAAAATATTCTCAATACAGATTCCGTTTGCAAAATTATGTTATTATCCATAATTCGTGTCCCATGTATAACTAACGGACAAGATACAATCACTTAGATATTGAAAAGCACAGCGGTGCATAAATCTACTTAGTACAGAAAGGTACGTGGTGTACAGAGTGTGTGTGTGGTGTGTGTTATCTTTTGGCGCACTCCAAAACGAAACATTTCACATGAAATGCTTTGCAAAGTCATCGTCATAGCCATGCAAGGTATATTTCAATACATATTTATTGCTTAGTCAGTCGGAAAAAACATTTGTGATGCAAATCATATATTTGGCCCGCGCTAGCTACCTGGGAGAGTACTATAGATTGGGCAGCTTAACAGCGACAGAGAAAGAGAGCAATATAGAAAGAGAGAGAGAGAGAGAGAGACAGAGAGCGGGGGAGAGCGGGGGGAAGAGAAAAAGCAAAAAGGGGGAGGGGCAACGCCGGGATTTGGGAATCTGATCCCAGTTATTGGTAAGTTGCCGTCCCAATTATCATGAGTGAAGAATAATGAGGTAAATGCCAATATTTGTTGGTCCTATCATGGACCTCGACTGCCAACTTCTACTGTGATGAGGTCTGTAGCATAATGTATAGTCTGCAAGCGCAGACTCCAATGTGACACTCTGCCACAATCCCAAAGCCTTGAGCAGAGCTTAGATGTGTCGGTCTCTAGCTGTATAAAACAACAGCTTAAGTAAAGTGCATAATTATTGTAGTCATTTTGCAGTCACTGTTACGTACAACAGCAAGGGTTTGTGCCTGTGAACTGGGAAACTTACGGAATAATATTATTAAGACTTTCCCAGAATCATACAGGTTTACAGGCACATGTTTTGCGAGGGGCTTACACCCTTTGCCTGAATATCAAATGTTCCAGGTCATGAAATATTGCGGTCGAGCCGAAAAAAACATCTTAATGTGATAAGACTTTTATTTAATCATCTGTGATAAGACACAGACTTGCAAACTCGCGCATCGATCTCACTGTTTGGATATAAGCTGATATAATATTGATAGGAATATTTCAAATTGTGGGGTGGGGAGGGGAGAGCTGCAACCACCACACCCTGTCCCCGCCCCATCGTAAAGCTTTTAGTATAAGCTTTTTTCTATTTTATGGGTTTCTCATATGGCTCTCTTTAATTTACAGATGGATAAAGAGCTATACTGACTAGCAGATCAAAAGTATATTATTGTTTAATGTAGATGTGAATTCCGTGTAAACGGCTACCTAATCTTATTTACTCCAACTGATTTAGATGAACTGTTAATAGCTGCAACCTAATCATTGCTACCGAACAACTTTTGACAATATTTGCCTTAATCAAAATAGCGAAACTTTGCTGACCGTACCTTTTGCAGTTCATCAACAATCACGTTAATCACATATTCACTGATATCATGCGTGCATATATTAAAACATGATTTTAAGACTTGCCCAAGGTTTACAAGGCATAACAACCTATATATCACATGGAAGATTTCGTCCATATATAGAAGGCAATGAACTTTAAAGTGAAATAATTGATAGGGGTTCTGCTGTTCATTTCCAATGAACTGAAATAAATTAGACGGCCTAAATTGGTTTACTGTTGCAGTATTCGTCTCTCTCTCTCTCTCTCGCTCTCTTTCTCTTCCCCTCTCTTTTAGCTCTCTATTACGCCCCCCCCCCCCCCCTCTCTCTCTCTATGGGATAATGCGTATACATCATGACGGGAAATAGACCTGAAGTGAGCAGGGGAACAGAAAAAAAGAAAGAGAAAACGGGAAACTCGGGGGAAAACCGATAAAATGCGGACAAAGAATATCGAAATTAGGAATCCATAAACATATCTATTGATATGGATCGAGCTACTCCTATTGAAGAGTCGGTCACGGTGAGTGATGTTATTTGGCACAACTTCTCGATTCTTTTGTAAAAGATTGAACTCCTCCTTTTTCCCTTCTTTTATTGGACAGGGGGTGTCTTCGTTTCAAATTCTAATACGCAGTAGATGTATAGATGAATATGAAGAATATAACACTCGATCAGATCGTATAGAGTAGGATTATCGCTGTATCATAACTGATGTCAACTCTTTTCTTGCTATCAAATTTCCATTTCTGTGTATTCTTCTTCCACAACTTAAAATAAGGAATATTATGTACGCCTCCCAAGCTTAAACTGGTACATTTTATTTCTTCTAGGCGACAATATTCTTATTATTAGTTTTGTTCAAGTCTTGAACGCCTCACGAATTGCGAAGCATCTCGGTCTGCTATCCATATTAAACAATGATATTCTGAAATCGTTTAATTCAAAAATCTAAATGTAAAATCCCGCACCCAAAGGCTCCATAGCTCTGCCATCCACACATCTTTCCGCTGTTGTGATACTCTCCCATTGATCTGAAGACTGGTGTTGTGTCTTCATCTCTTAAGACATGGCTCTCAAAACTTCAAGTCCAATGCAATAATGTAAGTTCAATCCAAAGACCCGATACTAATTGGCGATTCAGGAGAATGACATGTATTTATGTTTTTCATATTTTGTAATTTATGATTCTTACGGTATATTATTTGGATACTTGCGAATGAATTTCCCTTGATGTTATTCTTAATTGTTACTGAATAAAACAAACCCAATATTATATTTTTATGATGTTTGTTTTCTCCAAGTCAGCTCCATATTATCAGCCACTCCCAAATGTTAAAAATTCGCATTGCCAATGACCTTATATCATACAATGGGATTTCCTTTTTATCCAAGTCAGTCCCATAAAATGTGGCCATTCTCAATATGTTAATTTGTAGCCACTTGCACAGCGCCCTCTTTAGCAACATGTACATGTACATGTATTCACTTCTTTTATTTTATCTAGAGCAATATGCCTATGCATGAAAACAAGGCTTGTTAACTCACTCCTCTCTTTTCTAATTGTTGAGGTTAACACCAATGTTTTTAATCCGTTTAAATTATACTTACAACTAATTTTCCGTTGAATCTATAACAGACGACAGGTCGTTATTATTAATCGTTTTTCTTTCCCGGCATCCATGTGACTCTTTTAAAATTTGGTTTGCTCCGCTTTTCACTTTTTTCTTGAATTTGTTTTATGCTGAATAGATCAATATTGTAATAATAATAATAATAATATTAATCATGATGATGATGATCATCACCTTTCTCATCTGCAATTTCTTTCTACTATTAGATAATACATTTGATCAATCCTATTTTGATAAATGCAGCATTCGGAATCCCCCTTTCCATGTACATACGTATAAACAATATACAAGACACTCTTTGAAAATAAAAGAATTAAATTATGATTACCTTGATAATCATCGAGTTGTTTCAGATTAAGATTTTATTGTACTGTTCATATACATGGAAATTGCCCATTCTGTCAAAATATGTCATAATAAGTAAAACCAAATCTTGACACAACGCATATTCTTTACTATGATTGTGAAAACATTGCCCAGATTAGATGCGAGCAACCCTTGAGACTTGAAAGCATTTAAAAGAAATATAGGGTAGTTGCATTCATGATCCCTCCCAGCATACAATTGAAGGGAACATACTAATTACTATCACAGTATCATATTCGGATATGATAACTGTACAAAGAATCATATACACTCATAATCGATAGAAAATGAGACATAAAACAGAAGTATCATTAAAACTCAAAACATAATATCTTACAATATGAGTCAATGAATTCTTGAGAACACTCATACAGTTATCTCATTAGCAATACATGTACTTGGTAAATATTATGAAAGAAATATTATTATATACAAATCGAATGCAAAAACGAATGCTAGAAATCGAATCCTTCATCCATTTTAACATTGTCACATTGATAATTACATCACATTTCTACTTTTATATATATGCAGTGTCCATTCAATTCAATTTGATTCAATTTGCATTTTTCCAAGGTAACAACATGGAAATGTTACATGGGATTCGTTTGCAAGTAAAAAAAAATAGATATGTAAACAACAAAAACAGTAGCAATCGGAATACATAAGGGATACATGTACATAGAAGTTGACATCTTAGACATTAAAAGGTACAATAACCCATAGCATGAGCAGTAAGAAAGAGTAAAGGGGAAAGGTGTGATAGAGAAAGAAGAACAGCAGATCGAGGTGAGAGAGAAGGAAATGAGTCAGAAGAAGGAGAAGGATAGGGAGAGAAAGGGAAAGAGAGCTGATGCGAGGTAAAGAACAGAGAAGTAGGAACGGCTGTAAAAAGAAAGAGAGAATATCATGAAATAAAAGGTATTAAACAAGATTATGAATTTCCACTATCAAGTTAGTTAACACATTCGTATATTGAAATGAAAGTGCAACAGAAGACAATTAAAAAACGATAATGTAATAAGAAAGAAAGGGGAAAGTAAGAAGGAAAAGAAAGAGAAACTGACATAGTAAATATTGTTGAGCATCATTCATGAAATGTGATATTTAAATATTATATAGGTAGACAGGGTATACGTACGTGATGGTTTGGTTACGTATGGGCAATTTAATATTGCAATTGTAAATGTTTATACAATTATTATCGTTATTCAATGTGAGCTGTTACACGCCCTTATGGAAAAGGGAATGAAGGATTTCAGATAGCGGTATGATCTACACTTTGCAGACTTGAGTCGTTTACCTGATCGCATCCAACAACATTCATGTTAGTCTACCTTATAAAGAAAAGAAATCCACTAACAACAAACAACAGAGTGGTGAGCAAAATTGTTTTAAAACTAAAATAATCAGGAATGCAAACAAAAATTTGTAGAGATTACGTGTAGGCATACCACAACAATCGATTTAAGATCGATGGGGATAATGAATAAGACAGTGGCCTACAGTCAATGGGATACAGGGGTATATTCCACGAGCTACAGAGCATATAACACGAGTCGGCGCGACGACTGTTCACGTGAATGTACATAGTATGCTATTCCAATCACATTGACTATCGCATCCTCACCGGGTACCTATTTTAAAACACCTGGGTGGGGAGGAGTAATGTAGATTAAATGCCTTGCTCCTTGATATGAGTGTCGTACAGGGCATCGAACACAAGATGTTTACATTTCCGGTCAAGTGATGAAACCACTCGACTACGACACCTTTATGATGATGATGGAAAAAGAAGCAAGGAAATTCCGTAAATTAAAAAAAAAGAACGTTAATTGCGCTGATCCAACTGATTGTTAAAACTCGACAATGAGGAGAGAGAAAGAGAGATAGCTATATATAGAGAAGGGGGTTATAGGCCTATATATCTGAATTAGAGACTGGAGTAACATTTATTGAATTAAACAGTTTTTAAACAGAATTAATTTTATTTCAATAATGTGGACGAACGTCTGCCTAATACAAAGTTCAAAATAATATAATTCTCGGATCAGTAGAGGTTTCATTAATCAACATAACAATAAGGATACATTTATACAGCACATTATATTGCCGGTCAAATCCCTTTGCGCTGTACATGGTAATGCAGAATAATTGTTTTCCGAAAACTAATTACAACAACAAATATAGCCATTCTCATTAAAATACACCAAACTACATATACATTGGAACATACGCAATAAACGAAAAGATAGATATATAAAGTAGACAAATTTAAGGCACATTATATTATTTACGTTCAAATTGACATGGCAACATTCTTTTCACTTAATGTTACAATACAATAATAATATAAACCATCATTATATAATTCATCACGTTTAAATTCAAGATAATGGTTTCTAATATATATAGTTAGTTGGTCATGCGTGCAACAAAATAGACCTACATTGTAAAGTAACGACGTACGCCATTCTTTATAATCTAATCAATGTATACAAAATACTCAAGTTTCAGTAAACAATATTTGGCGTTTCAACAATATTTCGCTAATACCAAATGGAATAATTGATATCGATATATCATGTTAATCAATACAAATAATCATAGTAATACCGCCACAACAACAACATCATCAACAAAACCACAACAATAACAACAAAATCAACTACTACTACTACTACTATTACTATTACTAGTGATAAATTGTGCGTTGAAATATTTTCGCAAAATGCGGTAATGTCTCAGTGCGCTATACAATAAACAATTAGTTACATAAATACAGAAATATATCAAATATATTAAACTGAATGCCACATGATTTACTCTTAATAATGTTCTTGCATTGCATGTAATAGTGTACAATCACTAGTTGAACTTGTAGAAAACAGCTGATTGGATATTTAGAATTAGTATGCATTTATACAGCCATAATTTATAGTTAGTCAGTTATTTATAATTTGCTTTGCAAAGATACTCCTTCGTAGGGGCACATATCATTTGGCTACGTTATTTACAAATTATCAACAGACAAAATTACCAACTAAAATATATCAGACAAGATTGTTTTCCTTTTCAAAATAAAAATCATAAATCATAACAAACCTTCTATGGGATACATGCAACAGTTCATACACAACATATATAGGATAAAATGATATTATTTACCACTGTATATACAAGCTACAATGTTTATAGTTAATTTGCGATTACTCGAGAAACTATACCACTGTTTGATTTTGTTGTTTATATATTTGTTTTATATATGTATTGTGAAACAAAATTTTCATGTATATGATTGCGATTTACTAATAAAATCAAATTAAAATATATACAGTATTTTGTTTGTGAATTAAAAGTGGTTTTCATTTGGCCTTTTCGGAAGGGTGATACACGACTATACATTTCCTTCATCTCCCACCTGTGGATACAACTTCAAAGTGTTTACCGTAAAACCATTTCACTTGTAGGAAATCACATTAGGCCTGGTGCTGAAATTATCGTCAATATAAACATATTAATGATAAAATAGTTTCTAAGTTTACATTCGATTTGGAGAAAACCGATCTATATTTTGTGTTTAAATAATCATGCAAAAAGACAATAGGCCGGCAAGTTACCAAATTTCATGACCTTGTCCGATATTGTGTGTTAGAGAGATGGGGTACTAATAGATTATGATTACTTGGCTCAGAAAAGGGTAAAAAGTAACGATCATCATGTTTGTTTTGACTTTTTGTTGGTTCGTTTATATGGTGAGTTTGTGCTATACTTTTTGTTCTTTTTATATATTCATCTTATTTTTTTATTTTTCATTACTGTTATATTCTGTATTTAAACATTTCATTATATTTCTACAAACTAATTTCGTTTGCTCATGTTTGCCGTGTTCATAGTCTCTTATTTATAGCATCCTTTTTGGTTCTGAGGAGACCTAACTGTTTTTACATAAAACGTAATAAAAAAAAATCATGAAATACAATTGATTCTAATGGCACAGACATCATTTTTTCAATGCCTGTTGCACACAAGGTTGCGTTTCATTTCCTTGCTTTAACCGAGCTAGGTGATTCAGTTAGGACTATAACACCCTTAATTCGAAGAGAGGTTTGCACTGTTTGATTTGCATTAACTTTACGGTGCGATATTACTCTCTTATGGTGCGTCAATGCCTCCGTCAGTCGCTGACGCAAGCATACTTTGGGCTAATTCTGCATCGTATACATTCTCTACATAGCAAATGTGGTGAGTAAAGCACAGCTTGTTGCACAATTCAAATTCGAAAAGAATTATTACTTATTTATTTTTCTAATAATGAATATTTTTCCATCATACTTTTAATACAATTTCAATCATGATATTTTACAACATTTCGGCCCTTTTACAAGGTTTGAGATTTTCAGCGTGTAAATCATATTAAATGCAAGAACACTGAGAGTAACATTTTGAAGGGAATTTAAAATCACAATCACAAGAGCTGCAATACCGATGTAGAGCATATATTACACATCCGTCTAAATCATATGAATGTCAACGGGATTCAGAGGATGAATAAATCGATTGCATGACAATTGCCAAAGAAAAAGGTTGATGATGTGTTTGAGGCACTTTCCATTTCAGCTCATTTTTCCTGTTTGCGTGCAAAGATTGTTTGCTCCGTCTGATTCGTCAGATCGAGTGTGGTGCCATCTCTTTGATTACTTAATAAAACGATCACTATAGTGATGGGTAGAGAGAGAGGGGGAAAGGGAGAGAGAGAAAGGGAGAGAGAGAAAGAGAGAGAGAAAGAGAAAAAGAGAGAGAGAAAGAGAGAAAGAAAGAGAGAAAGAGAGAGAGAAAGAGAGAAAGAGAGAAAGAGAGAGAGGTGTAAATGTGTGCATCAACATACAAACATCGCTACATTAAAACATAATCATATAGAGCAGTAAACGGAGGGCAAAGAAGAGAGATTGAATATCACATAGCTTTACGTCAAACAGAACCATCTTTACAAATTTAAAATTGAATTTATTTTCTTTTACTACATGAAAACGGGCAAAATCTGTTAATCAGTTAATGAATTCGTAGAAAACATCTTAATACAAACATGTGCGAATAATTTAAAGAAATAAGCCAACATGTAATATGAAAAATAGTATAAATACCTTCAGTTTATCACTTCGCTAATTCAGTAACCTAAGCCAATTATTTAATAGGCACCTTGAATATTCATGATTACACATTTCCAAAGAAACATTAATTTACATGCACGCCATTTTTCAACTCTTTGTTACATTTTTCACAGATTAATTGACATGAGACTATTTTGTGTATGTTGGGGGGAATTTGATTTAATCACGGTTAAAAAGCCTGCTATCAGCTAGAAGCTGCTTTTCAGCAAGGTCGTGAACAGCAATTGAACACAACAAGTAAACGAATACAACAATTATATACAAAATAAATCACAAAAATTATCATAACAACATAATAAGATGAAAACAAACAACATGAATTAAAAATTACTCAGATATAAACAGAAACAATGGAGGGGTGTATTATTTAAGAGAGGGATATAAGACGTCCGAATGTTGCGAGACTATTTTCGAATCGGATGTTTGCCGGTAGGTTATTGACAAGTTTTGAGGCTGAATAGAGAGGGCTCAGCCTCTTTCTGAGGTAATTTGTATATGAGTGGTACATAATGTCAGTTCCTTTCATTCTCGATGAAAACAGAGATAAACAATTAAACATAGTAACTAAGCAAGCCCGGAAGTAAGAGTTTGAAGGACTTACCCACGCGGTTAGCCATGCTCCACCTCCACCTCCATGGCCTGATCTTTACTGCAAGCCATTATGACATCATCCACGCCCTCATCTGACCCGCATTGTATGAATCTACCAGTATCAAAATAGACGGAATACAGCATTTCTCCTTTCGTGCTCCTCGTGATTTTTCGTATTGTTTTCATTTGATTCTACAAGATGGAAATGCTCATCAACATTTGAAAGGCCAAATGCCCCAATCTTACGATTTTCTTTCATGATAGACTATTGTTAAATAAATAATCTCACTCATGGGCGAATGGTATAAAACCAATTGCAAATCATCTTAAAAGGGAATAATTTATGTTTATTTTAAGATATAAAAGATAAGTACTATTTAATTACTTAATTTGAAAATTCTTAATATAAATAGTGTACACTTTTTTTCTGGGGGATGAGTGTATTATGAATAGGAAAAAGGATGGGAGAGAGAACGAGAGAGAGAGAGAAAGAGAGAGAGAGAAGGAGAGGGAGAGAGAGAGAGAAAGAGAGAGAGAGAGAGAGAGAGAAAGAGAGAGAGAGAGGGGGGGTAAAGAAATGAAACATATTAAAGTGCTCTTTTAACAAATGACACAATGTCTCACCTGATAATCTTCAGATGTTTGAGGTTGTGAGGTGATCTGAAAGCTTGCACGATTAGTTCCATCTTACTGTTGCCAATGTCAAGATCGCTGAATGTCACCTTGACAAGCTGAGGGGAGATAATCAGGAGGGCTTTGGGTAGTGAAGTGGGCTCCTCGTGGAAACCAGCCGGTCGCCATACATCCACACGTGTTTGAATGGTCAGTTCTGTTGCTCCTGGTAGATGGATCCTCTGGATGACGTCACAGTTGATCGTACTCCGTACCTCCATAGTAACCCTATTCACACTGTCGAACATCGAACCACAATCCTGCCATCCTTCTAGTGTGTCATCACCTACTGTAAGCTCAATCAGGGTGGGGCTCGTGTTACAGCTCTGGACGTGATCATGTACATACAAAAAAAGGAAAACCAAAGTGCACCAGCACATATAGTAGGTTCGATTGTTGGTAAATATATAATGTTTCATAAAAAAGCAACACAAATCGTATAGACATAGCCCGGGAAAATGCGAGAAAGCTTTTGCAAAAGCCAGTATAAGTTGCATGATAGTCAAAGTTATAAGAAATAATAGTTTGTTTGCTTTCAGGCAATACAATTTTACATGTTTATCATTCATAATTTCCCAATAGAAATATGTTAAAGGCAATACAGATAGATTCAATGAAACGAAGACCAGTCTAACGGTATGTAAATGTATTATAAGGCATTGCTAACTAAGAAAGTAATAATTATTTTTGTTTTTGTTATTTTGTTAGGAATTATTAATGTTTTCATTTAAAACACTGATGTTATAATGTTCTCTTTTCCGTTTTGTTTTTGTGTATTGTAATTGTTCAACCCTGCATGAGATGCATTTAATGTAATACAAATCTCTGTCCTGGGTTTTATGTCACATCTTTATTATTATGTTACATGTATACTTTCTTGAATAAAGATGAACAAACAAAACAAAAGCCATACGTTAGGATGAACACCTTCTAAAAAAATTACAATCAGTTAAATGAAATGCAAGTATTCCGTACTCCGTATATGCAATATTCCAATAAAATGTAACTGGCATGCCATACATGTATAAGAGTCTGAAATAGTAATTTTGAAAATGATTTTAAAAAAAATCAAATGTTATATCATGATTAGTACATTAAACCTTTGTCGATGTATATAGTAAGAGTTAATTAATCATATTACTTGAATTGTGATGCACTGATGCACAGTGGACCGTTTAAGAATGTCCGACGGCAAATTTTACTGCAGGATTAACAGATATTTAATATGAAACATGTCTACAAGTACAAATATACCACCATATAAATTGAGCGCTTGAAGTTATGTTTCGTCTCATTTGTAGGTGTTATAATGCATATCATGCGAAAGGCGGGCGAAGTGGCCGTGTCCCCCATTGAAGAAAAATATAGGCGAAACAAGACATTGAATGGGTGTATTAAACACCTTTTGGCTCCTTGCCATTATGATCTTGCCGAAATGATGATGCAATTTTTACACGATTTATATGAAATAACAATTCATTTAAACACCCAAATGCATTATAACACCTAAAATAAGAATATAGTTGTACTGCCTTTTCTTTGACCAATGATATAGTTACATGTTATTCCTTTCCTTTTACAAGTGTCAAATTTCGTTTTTTGTTATGTTTTTTAATTTGAATTCCTTTGGAAAACATTTCGCTTTAGTTGAATGTTCCACTACGTTAACACCGTAAATGACTTAACGATTGAACATTTTAATGAATATCAATAAAACAGATAAAGCTATAACAAATAAAGATGATTATTTGTAGGGCTTGGTAATACAGTGGCAGATCAGATCAACAACAACAGCAAAAGGGGGAGGGGGTCATTATATTTCTCAGATGCCCTCGTATTCGTTAACGCCCCTCTTCATAATGAATTATGTATTATACTTGATCTATTTGTTATCTTCTTAATCGTTTGATTGAAATGTCATAGTTTTACAATTTTTTGTATTGCCCATTGACTCTTTGTTTTTACAAATTGTGTGAATTGATGTTGGAATTTGGAAATAAATGATTTGAATTGAATTGAAAGTGTTGGAAGCCACAAATTCGCCAACTAAATGTGATGGCAAAATTTCACTTAAATTATATCATAATGTGAAAAAGGACGTCATTTAAGACATATTTCTGCAAAGATCCCCCCCCCCCCAACAACAAAAAATGTGTTTGAAGATATTTAATATGAAAAATGTCCACAGGTACTAATATACCACCATATGATTGAGCGTTTGAAGTAATGTTTCGTCTTAAACAGATTCTTATTTGTAGGTGTTATAATGCATAGGCATATCGTGAGGAAGGCGGGCGAAGTGGCCGTGTCCCCCATTGAAGAAAGATTATATTGGTGTAACACCTGTTTGCTTCTTGCCATTATGGTTACGCAAAATGATGATGCATGTTTTACATGATTTATATGAAATAACAATTCATTTAAACACCCAAATGCATTATAACATCTGAGAATAAGAATATGGTTATATTTATTAACGCAATTTGTACTGCCTTTTCTTTCACTAATGATAGAGTTACATGTTATTCCTATCCCTTTACAAGCGTCATATTTCGTTTTTTTTTCTTCTTCTTTTTAATCCCTTTGGAAAACATTTCGCTTTAGTTGAATGTTAATGACTAACGATTGAAAGTTTTAATTAATGCCAATAAAGCAGATAAAGCAATAACAAATAAAGATGATTATTTGTAGGGCTTGGTAATGCAGTGGCAGATCAGATCAACAACAACAACAAAAGGGGGAGGGGGTCATTATATTTTTCAAATGCCCTCGTATTCTTTAAAGCCCCTCTTCATACTATTTGTTCTGTTTTTTATCTCCTTTATCGTTTGATTGAAATGTCGTAGTTTTACAAAGTTTTTTATTGCCCATTGACTCTTTTTTTTTACACAGTGTTTGAATTGATATTGGAATTGTGAAATAAATGATTTGAATTTAATTGAAAGTGTTGGGAGCCACAAATTTGCCAACAAAATGTGATGGCAAAATTTCACTTAGATTATAGGACGTCATTTAAGACACGTTTCTGCAAAGATCCCCCCCCCCCACAAAAAATGTTGTATTCTTTCATCAATATTGATGAAATCCTCTTTTACATCATGATACAATTTAGGTGAAATCTTTCCATCCAATTTTTGGGGCCCCCAACACTTCAGAGGGGCCTTAATTATCTGACCAGCAACCAAAAGTACGTCTTTCCTTCGATAGAGTTTATACAAGATTTAAGACGGAATGATAATCCAGTCAAGTATTTAGGTATATATTTAAATAGAAACAAAAACAAATGTGATCGACTGAGCTGGTATGTGAAACTTGAAAAGGTTAAATCGATTCTAAATTTCTGGAATATGAGAAATTTAACCATTCATGGTAAAGTTGTTATAATTAAATCATTTATAATATCTCAATTTGTGTATGTTGCTTCAGTATTACCCATTCCTCACAAACTAATTGTTAACTTGAACAAATTGATTTATAATTTCCTTTGGAGTTAAAAAAGAGACAAGATAAAGAGATCAGTCTTGATAAATACAATGAAACTGCAGGTCTAGGTATGATAGACTTGCATTCCAAGTTACAATCCCTGCATTTAACATGGTTATCGAAGTTTTTTGAAAATAACCAGGATACACAATGGAAATTTATGTTTAAATTCTGGATTGAAAATTCTGGATTGAAAATATATGTCCATTGTCATTGGTTTTAAAATCGAATTGTTCTCGCAAAGATATGATGATTTTATGTTAAAAACACAATCTACCTGAGTTTTATGTTAATTGTCTCTCATGCTGGAATGAACTTAAATATATTGACTTTTTGCATGTCGCAAATGTTAGAAATGAGGTGTTATGGTACAACAGTGACATAATATTTGATAGTAGAACCTTATTTTTTAAAGAATGGTCGGTTTACAAATGGTATTGTACTGGTTGTTAAAATTGCAGAAAATCGACATTTTAAGACACGAGATCATATTTGTAATGTGCTTGGTTCGAATTCTTTATTGGTTGACTTTATGTATACGAAGCTCAAAAAGGCGATCCCTAAAGTTTGGATAAAACGAATTCATGAAGTCAACCAGCATGATGATGACAATAGAGGTACTATACAACATTGTGACAATGATTTCTACGAAATTAAAACATGTGATGTCATTAGATTGTCAACAATGAAATCGATACATTTCTATAGTTTAATGAGTGAGCGCAGGAAAAGTAATCTAGCTGTATTAACACACAGGGAAGAATTTTTTAACCTTCCAATTGATTTTTACTAGAAAGAGATACTGAAATTTAAGTTCAAAACAATAAAAACAATAAAGTAAAGCAAGTAAATTTTAAAACGCTTCATCGAATTTTACCGTTCAGATATAATTTATGTAAATGGAAAATTGTAAATGAAAACAACTGAATCATTTGTTCATGTTCTTTTATAATCCCCCAATATTCTTCTGGAAACGCGTAGTTGCATTCATTCGTTCCAACTTCAAGGAAACACTGATAATAAACGAAAAATACCTGATTGTTGGTGCAGATTCTAATTGTTCCAACACTAAGATTTATTGTTTTGACCCAGCTGTAGCTGTATATGTATTCTCTCCCTCCTGTTGTTGTACATGCAACAGTATACAATGAAATTTATTTTATTCTAAGGGGTCGAATTCACAAGATCTTTGAGTAGATCTTTAATCTGTCCCCACTCAATTTATGTTATTTGTGTTGTCATCTACTGATTTTGCTATGTCCATCTTTTTATATTTGTTATACATGTATGCGTTTATTCGCAATTCTATGTGTCTGTTTTTTATATTGAGTGAATAAATTATTTGAATTTGAATATTTGAAGATATAAATGTAATTATTACATATGCACAATAGGCAATATATAAAATGTACATGTTAAACTATTTCCAAGGGAAAACTTACAACAGTCTTGCAATATGGCATGTTTTTAAAAATGAACTGTGCTTGGGTAACATCTCAGATGTTATATCAAATGCCCTTCAACATTATAGCCCTTGATTTTATCTGATTGTAAAGATCTCAAAAGATGAGGTGTAAAGTGAATGTATTTTTCTGTTTTGAATTATTTTGTTGTTAATAGTGTATTTTATAACCGAATAATTACCTCTGAAGAGGAAAAAAAAGTCTTTCCTTCGTAATTTAATCAGTCTATTTACTTTGAGTTTATTTCTTTGTAAGCGCTATGGAGTTTTGTATTTAGCTTCTCTAAATATAACATAGTGAGATGGAGAGAAAAAGCAAGGCTTATGACATTTAAAGGGAAAGTCCACCCCCAAAATAAGTTTGTTTCGATAGAGGCAGAATAATAAGAAAATCAGGTGAGTGAAAGTTTGAGCAAATTCTGAATGAAAATAAGAAAGTTATGAATTATTGAAGTTGTGATCAATCAAATACAAATTGGCAACTCTGTGACTTATTATACGAGCTCTCCTTCATTTGCTTTGTGCATAATATTCCATAAAATCATGTTTTCTTCGTTATTGATGACGGAATATATATTTGTTCCTTGCAGGGGGAGTATAGAAACATATTTGCAATTATTATATTTAGGGAGCATGTATGGTTGAAATTTTTCTTGAGGGAAAATGAAAATTTTAGATTTTTTAGTACTGAGCAAATGGAAGTTGAGCTCGCATGATACGTCATAGAGTTGCCAATTTGTGTTTGATTGATCACAACTTTAAAAATCCTAACTTCCTTATTTTTAATCTGAATTTGCTCAAACTTTCACAGACTTGTTTCTCTCATTTTTCTACTCCTATTAAAACTAACTTAATTTCAGGGTGGACTTCCCCTTTAAGTGCCGTTTTGGGTAGGGAGGGGGGATATCTTGCATAATTACGGACCCATTCTTATTTTGTATAAATATGTCAGATAGGGGTTTGCCCCTACTCTCGATCCGCCATTATTCATCCCGTAAAGTGATCATGTGATGCCAACGGATATCCTTGCTGGCACACACCGTCTTGTAAACTCTGGAAAAGGAGCTATTTAAATTCAATTATTATTATTATTACTATTATTATTATTATTATTATCATTATCATTATCCTCTGAGATACAAATCTCGAATGAAAAGTGTCTCAATCTGTCGTGCAAACTTGTACCTGATTAATTTAGTGAAAAGCAGAATAATAATAACCTGGCTGAATTGATGATATGATTTGCCTAATGTTCACATTCCACAGTCTCTCCTAGATATAGTTTTGAAAGAACTGATGGAAGTGATCAATTCTTGTTCAACATGGAAGTCGTCTATTGCCATTTGTCAATATAATTGGATGAAGTATAGTTATGAAAAATATTGTTTTTACTATTAATCTTTAATATTACGTTTGTCCGTTTTTGTATAAGGACAGAAAATGTTTACTTTTCGCATCAAGCGGATCTAGCTTTTTGCTAAGACGATGCGGAGCATCTTACTAGAGCCACGTAGCGGCGAGGCGATTTTTTTTTTTTTTTTTTTTTTGGTGCTCTTTTTTACTCCCGTAAGTGATGTTTTCCTGGCATCTACTAACACAATTGAGACCATGAAAAGCAGTGCATGATAACGTCTTTTTAAATCACAGTTTAATACACAGTTATATTCAGAGTTATCATGTGTTTGGTTAAGTTACCAGATGAGTTGAATATCTTCTCACAATATGGCGTTTGTCTATGCACACCACATTTTGACTTGGCAGCCTAGGGGGGGGGGGGGTTAAACCCCCTAACCCCCCCCCTGGTTTTCAGATGAGCATATTTTGATACCTTATTTGTGACATTGGCATGATATTAATTGGCGTGGGTTCCAGGGGGCGGAGCCCCCTGAAACTAAGGGGTTTTAGGAATTAAATTACCATCAGATGAGCATCTAGGGGCCCGCCTTAGGGCCCTAAGTGGAATCCGGGGAGCAGAGCCTTCGGAAGCTCAGGGTTTTTTCGGATTTAAACAGGGTCAGATGAGCATATTTTGATACCTCATTATATTTAGACACTGGCAGGTCACTATTCTTTCTTTCTATTTCTCTTTAATAAAATTTTTCAAAAAAGTGGGAGGGGAAGCTCGAAGCTCCCGAGCCCCGCCGTTCCGCGGGCCCTGACATTTAAGCCTTTAAATAAGCATATTTCTCGCCTGACGGTAATTTTAGGAATTTGTCATCTCAAAAAAACGAATACAAAAGTATAAATTACTAAAAAGTGAGGAAAAATCTCGGAAAATTACGTTTTTTCAGCAACATTTGTACATCACCGGTATCGAATTAGAAATAAACCACGTTTGCATTTCATTGGGGGGGGGGGGGCACCCTACCCCCATCCGTAAGCCAGTGCAATGTAATACATGTATATAATGTGTACTTAATTTTTATATTGGCTTACATTTGCTCTTTCCTCTCATTTCTTTTTTTATGTTATTGTTTATCCTTGATTTGTTACTCTCTTTATTGTCCGTATGCTATGTTTTTTTAACAGTCTTCTGCACTCTGTTGGACCTAAATTTCTAATTCAATAATCTCAATTTCAATTTCATTTATATAATATGTGATCAATCAGATATGTGTCATAAGGCCGGATAATAGTTTCATTTTATTTTAAAGATATTTAATATACATGTAATACTTTGATAGCATTAAATCAGGTAAAGAAAACCCCAGTATAAATATTAAACATGCTAGTTACATTATATTTCTATGGAGAGTCAATGCGATTATGTTATTGAAATTGTACATTTGTAATATGTTACTGAAATTGCAAATTTGTAATATGTTATCTACAATTTCTATGTTGGCGTTACATATGCTCGTGCCTCGCCTTTCTTTATATTTTTATTCTTTATCCTTGATTTGTTACTGTCTTATTTGTCCTTATGCTATATTTTTACCAGTCTTCTGAGTGCATCAGTTGGTTGGGCGGAGGGACCTTCACGGTTACAGTAATTAACTTTGCTCTCTTCTTCCCTGGCCGCCATCTTTTGCACTCTGAATATTGCTACAAAAATTTGTATTTGCACACTTTTTGTCATTCCAATTTTGTATTTACCATGTTTATATTGTTAAATTGTTATATTTCTTGAAAGTGCCGAATAAATAATACAATAATACAATACAATACATCCCCCCTCGATTTACACCTTGTTGGGGGAAAAAATCGCATCTGATCTCCCCTACCTTACTTCTTTTCCATTTTTTTCCTTTTTTCTTTCCATATCCTTCCTTCTCTGTTATTTGTTGATGGGGGCCCTTTCGCCCCCCCCCCCCTACCCCGATCTCCTTTTCCCCCTTTTATTTTTTCTTCCTCTTCTTTCTTTTCCTTTCTCTCCTCTTCCCCTCCTTTTCCTTCTCTCTCTCGCTTATTGTATTTTTTATTTGTTGCCGGGGGGAGGCAAGGCCCGCTCCCCCCTGGATCCCCCTTGATCAAATCAATACCTTTGCAGATGATGCCATCGATGACGATGTTGAGTAGAAGTCATCGTGAAACTGACCGCGGATTGTCAGGTCCTTCAGATGAGTCATCTTACAGATGAACTGAGCGACATCGCGTGATGCAGAGGGACGTTTATTGAGATCTTCAGAGTAGATCCCAAGAGTCTCAATCTGTTATGATAGCAACATTATGTTGAATGAATACTTATGATTAATTATGATCCGGTAATTTTACTGATCCTACTACATGTAAACGTCGGAATGAATGAGGGGTGGCGGAGGAGGAGGGGAGGGTGGTGGACGATCCACATATTGGATGTCAAGTCTTAATCTGTTATAATAGTTACATTGTATTGGATAAACAATTGCTGACCTAACACTACTTAAAAATAATTTTAAACATTACATCATTCTTGAGTTGCCATCCTCATTATTCTACAAAAGCTATACGTTATTCTGAAATGAGATTTAGTAAAAAAAAAAAATGTTGAAAAAAATAATTGTACATAACAGAAAAGTGTGAAATAAAATGTAGATAGAAAACTTTGCAGTTTCCAAAGGGTTTCAGATATAATTCAAACGGGGACAAAGAGATTCGATTTTTCATTTGTTTCGGCTTTTGGAATTTAAATATTTAGTCTCATCAGCATTCGCAGTTGAAACGGTTGTCTCTCTATCAGCAATTCCATAGCACCCCGAATAGTCATATGAAATTCAAAATATGGTTTATATATTCACTATTGATCTTAAAATCTTCCCTCTGATTTTGTATTATGACAGAATTCACTTTTCGCATCCACTTCCTGAAACGATCAACTTTTCCTACCTGCTTCTTCTTAACGGTGTTCCAATAGGGAGAAAATTGTACACTTGCATTTGACTATATGGGAAAGAGTGCACCAACAGTATAAGAAAAACATGTACTGATTTGCTAAGAGTCCAACAAAATATGATCAAATCAATACCTTTGCAGATGATGCCATCGATGACGCTGTTGAGTAGAAGTCATCGTGACACTGAACGTCGAGTGTCAGGTCCTTCAGATGAGCTATCTTACAGATGAACTGAGCGAGATCACGTGATGCCGAGGGACGTCCACTGAGATCATCAGAGCTGATGTCAAAAGTCTCAATCTGTTATGATAGCAACATTATGTTGAATGAATACTAATTACAACCAAATAAAACTATATTCGAGAATCAACAATTCATTAAAAATTATATTAATATCGTTGCCGTATAGTAACATTGTGTACGATAAACTCCTAACACAATATCATTTATTTTGTGTATGATATACATGTCTTGACACCTGAAATTAGTACCACTTTGAATAGTTCATGGCTTTTTTGAGACCGAGGTAATGGTGTTTATTCATAACTGATAGATAATGACAGAGGTGATCAGTTTGTTTTTGATTGATCCCATCGAGACTGTAGGCATTGCGGATAAAGTAAATTATAATATTTTCTAGATCATGTTGACCTGTTGACTGAGGGAGTAGTGGGGAAATATGAATGAAGGACTTGGCTCATGATCTAAAGACGTACACAAAAGAGAATAAAAGAAGAAGGCAGAACGGTGGTTGCAAAGCAGTCACCAAACAGACTACTCTTGAAGGAAAGTGTGTGCTTTCAATCGGGGGATAGTCTGAACACCCTGATTATGTTATTGACAACAGTATAATGGTGGATCCATGATTGTAAGAGAGGAGGAGATTTTTTTTTTTCCCGGGCATATGATCCGTTTATTTTACTGACCCTACTACATTTTCACGTCGGAATGAGTGAGGTGGTGGTGAGGGAAGGGCGGGGTGATCCACATACTGGATGTCAAGTTTCAATCTGTTTGAATAGGAACATTGTATTGGGTAAACAATTGCTGACATTAAAAAAAAAAGAAATATTGTTATACTTTACATCATGAGACAGTTGCCATCCTTATTCATTTACATAAGCAATACGTTATACAGACATTTGATTGAAGAAAATTGTAAAAACAAACATACATGGAACACTTTTCAATTACCAAATTCACAAATATTATTCACTATCAATCATATAATCTTCACTTTGTTTTTGTATTACGACAGAAAGTTCACTTTTAACATCCATTTCCTGAAACGATCAACTTTTCCTGCCTGCTTCTCCGTTACGGTGTTCCAATAGGGAGAGTAAAATTGTACACTTGCGTATGACTATATAGAAAAGAGTGCACTTCCAGTATAACAAAAACATGTATTGATTTGCTAAGAGTCTAACAAAATATGATCAAATTATGTTTATGATGTACAAGTCTTGACACCTGAAATTAGTACTAATTTCGGTAGTTCCTCGATTCTTTTGAGACCAATATAATGGTGTTTATTCATTAATGATAGGTAACGACAGAGGTGACAACAATGCTTTTGATTGATCCAATCGGGACTGTGGGCATTACTGATAAAGTAGTGTTGAGTAGAAGTCATCGTGACACTGACCGCGGAACGTGTGCTTTTATTCGAGGAAAAATCAGAACACCCTGATTATGTTATCGACAACGTTATAGTGATGGATCAATGATTGTAAGAGAACAGGGAATTTTATCCCGCGGTCATATGATCTGGTAATTTCACTGATCCTACTACATTCATACGTCTGAATGAGTTAGGGCTAGTGGATGGGAAAGGGGGTGATCCATATACTGGATTTCAAGTCTTAATCTGTTATAAAAGTAACATTGTATTCGATAAACAATTGCTGACATTAAATACATATAAATATTGTTATACTTTACATCATGAGACAGTTGCCATCCTCAGGCGTGGCTCCAGGATTTCTTAGGGGTGGTGGCCCAACTTTGATTTTTTTTTTTTTTTTTTTTTTTTTTTTAAATAAGATTCCTAAAATATATGATCACATCTATACCTTTGCAGATGATGCCATCGATGACGCTGTTGAGTAGAAGTCATCGTGACACTGAACGCGGAGTGTCGGGTCCTTCAGATGAGTCATCTTACAGATGAACTGAGCGAGATCACGTGATGCCGAGGGACGTTTACTGAGATCAGGAGAGTAGATCCCAAGAGTCTCAATCTGTTATGATAGCAACATTATGTTGAATGAATACTAATAACAACCAAATAAACTAAATTCAAGAATCAACAACTTGTTTTAAATTGTACTAATATCGTTGCCACAATGAAAGACTCTCATTACAATCACATTTATTAGGTTTATGATGTACAAGTCTTGACACCTGAAATAAGTACTTATTTCGGTAGTTCCTCGATTGTTTTGAGACCGATATAATGGTGTTTATTCATATAAATGATAGGTATTAAACGACAGAGGTGACAACAATGCTTTTGATTGATCCAATCGGGACTGTGGGCATTACTGATAAAGAAAATGATAATATTTTCTAGATCACATTGATCTGTTGGCTGAGGGAGTAGTGGGTAAATATGAATGAAGGACTTGGCTCATGATCTAAAGTCATACAAAACAAAAGAGAATAAATCAACGCAAAGTGTAGCATCCTCTCACCCGGTACAATTTCCTTAATTGAGCAATGTTTGCATATTTAATGGGCTGTGAACTTTGAGCTTTGATGTATGTACTCAACAACATTACTTACGTTATTGGATTAAAAAAACATTTTCGCGTACATCTAAGAAGGCATTTTCGCATATTTAATGAGCTATAACCTTTGTCTTTTGACCTACATACTCCGAAATTAAAGTGAAGGTTGAGTTCTGGGAAGAGGTGAAAAATAATTTGTGAGCGTTATCATTCTTATCATGCAAGTGCGGAAGAACATCAGATAAGACATATTCCCTGAAAAGCATGGCTCTTCAAATGCCTTCATATTCTAAATATGTCATGTAACATCGTAAAACTCGGGGGTAGGATTTTTACGCCACGTGTTCGTGTAGTCACATATACATCTTTCTCTGTACAGAGGTGGGGGATGATCCACATACTGGATGTCAATTCTTAATCAGTTATAATAGCAATATTTTGTTGGATAAACATTTGCTAAAGCTATGGTCACAAATCAGAGCAGCGACCGACCGATCAGTAGCCTGCTCGGTCGCTGCTGGAATTTAGGCATCGCCCAGCGATTAGGTCGGTGCCCGGGCGGCGACCGCCCAGCCACCGAGTGTATTTTGGGCGGCGAGTGAAAAGAGAGCAGGCGCCGCCCAAATTTTAACTACGCGCTAAAACTTCAGCGGCGACCGAACGATGCCCTAAAAACGAGCGGTGCCTGGGCGGCCGCCGCTTGGTGGCCGGGCATCCGCCGGGCAGAATTGGTTAAAAACTCGCCGCTCGGCCGCCGAGCAGGCTACTTTTGGGTAATGTGACCATAGCATAAGCTATGGTCACAAATCAATGCGGTGGCCGACCGATTAGTAGCCTGCTCGGTCGCCGCTGGAATTTAGGCATCGCCCAGCGATTTTTTTTTTTTGGAGAAGTCGAGCAGGCTGTAGAGCCCCAGCGATGCCTGGGCGGTGCCCTGTCGATTTCCCGTCGGTCGCCGGTCGATTTTAGGTCAAAACTGGGTGAAATCGCAGACCTTTTCCGCGCGGTGTCCCAGCAGTGACCGATCGGTGACCCACCGATTCCCGAGCAGTCTCCCACCGGCCGCCGGCTGATTTTAAAGATATTGCACGGCGGCCGGCCAGTGATCGGCGGGGCTCCAAAATACGCTCGGTGCCCGGCTGTTCGCCGCCCGGGCACCGAACAAATCGAACATTCGCCGCCGAGCGATTTAGGTCAAAAATCGAAGCCGCTATAAGTCAAAGGCTGCCTACCGATTTTGGACTCGCCGTCCAGTGACCGACTGATTTCCCAGCGGCGACCGGGCGGCGACCGCCCGGTCACCGAGCGTAGTCTGGGCGGCGAGTGAAAGTGAGCAGGCGCCGCCCGAATTTTAACTCCGCGCTAAAACTTCAGCAGCGACCGAGCGATGCCTTAAAAACAAGCGGTGCCTGAGCGGCCGCCGCTCGGTGGCCGGGCAAAATTGGCTAAAAACTCGCCGCTCGGCCGCTGAGCAGGCTACTTTTGGGCAATGTGACCATAGCATAACATTTCACTACTTAATTCTTTTTTACACTTTACGTCAATATACAGTAGCCTTCCGCATTAATATACATATGCAATACATTATTCTGACATTTGATTTAAATAGTACTTTGGAAAACTAACTCGACGTAGCAGAAAAGTGTGAAAACAAATATACATGGTACATTTTGCAATTTCCAAAGGGTTACAGCAATAATACAAAGGGGGACGAAGAAATTCGGATTTACATATTTGAAGGTTTATAAATTTTAATATTTAGTCTCATCAGTACTCACGATTGAAATGACTGTCTCTGTATTAGCAATCCCGAAGCACTTCGAATTGTCATATGAAATTTATATGTTGACTATTAGTCCAATAATTTTCATTCTGTTTTTATATTTTGACAGGAAGTTTAACTTTATCATCCACTTTCAGAAACGATCAACTTGTTGTACCTTCTCTTAAAGGTAAAGACCAGTATTGGAAACGCCCCAATTTCAAAAAATGAAATGGAAGCTCTCATTACCAATCATGTGAAAGAATATGTTTTGACTAATACATGATGATAAAAAAATTGCCGGGAAACCGCCTACTAATTCATATATTTGGTAAATTTGTTTCTCTCATGGTCTGTGAGAGATATAGGGTAGTCGCAAATACATCTTTCTGTGTATAGTGCTTGTAACTTTACGAAGAATGGGCCAAATTTCTTATCATTTTGATGATTCCAGAACCTTGCAGATGCTAGATGCTAGATGATCAACCTTTACTGATCGATTCCACAACGTTTCTTTCACAATGCGATCGCATGACCATAACTGGTCTTTACCTTTAACGGTGTATCAATAAGGAGAGTAAAATTGTACAATTGCGTTTGACTATATAGGAACGAGTACACCTCTAGTATATCCAAAACATGTAGTGATTTGTTGAGAGCCCTGGAACATACGATCAAATTAATACCTTTGCAGATGTTGCCATCGATGACGATGTTGAGTAGAAGTCATCGTGATACTGACCCCAGAGTTTCAGGTCCTTCAGATGAGTCATCTTACAGATGAAATGAGCGACATCACGTGATGCCGAGGGACGTTTACCGAGATCATCAGAGTCAAACTTAAGAGTCTCAATCTGTTATGATAGCAACATTATGTTGAATGAATACTAATATCACAACCAAATATACTATATTTAAGAATCAACAACTTGTTTTAAAATTGTAATAATATCGTTGCCACAATGAAAAACTCTCTTCACAATCCTATTTATTATGCTTAAGATGTACAAGTGATCTTGACACCTGAAACTAAAACTAATGTCAATAGTTTATGGCTTCTTTGAGACCGATTCAATGGCGTTTATTCATAAATGATAGATAATGACAGAGGTGATTAGTTTGTTTTTTATTGATCCAATCGAGACTGTAGGCATTGCGGATAAAGAAAATTATAATATTTCCTAGATCATGTTGACCTGTTGACTGAGGGAGTAGTGGGTAAATATGAATGAAGGACTTGGCTCCTGATCTAAATTCTAACGGAACAAAAGAGAAGAAGTCAACGCAAAGCGTAGCATCCCCTCGCCAGGTACAATTTCCTTAATTGAGCAATGTTTGCATATTCAATGGGATGTGACCTTTGAGCTTTGACGTGTGTACTCAACAACATTACTTACGTTATTGGATTTAAAAAAAAACGTTTTCGCGTATATCTAAGTAGGCATTTTCGCATATTTAATGAGCTATGACCTTTTGTCCTTTGACCTACAAACTCCAAAATTAAACATAGGCTGTATTTTAATACCATGTGCCTTCATATTATATTCGTCGACGAGGGGTTTAATAAAACAAGAAGGTATAACGGTCACAAGCCAGTCCTCAACCACACTACTCTACATGGAAAACGTGTGCCTTTAATAGGGGGAAATCAGAACACCCTGATTATGTTATCGACTACATTATATTGATGGATCCATGATTGTCAGAAAAGAGGGTATTTTATCCTGCGGTCATATGATCCGGTAATTTTACTGATCCTACTACATTTAAACGTCGGAATGAAAGAGGGGTGGCGGAGGAGGAGGGGGGACGATCCACATACTGGATGTCAAGTCTTTATCTGTTATAATAGTTACATTGTATTGGATAAACAATTGCTGACATTACACTTCTTAAAAATAATTTTAAACATTACATCATGCTTCAGTTGCCATCCTCATTATTTTACTTAAGCTATACGTTTTTCTGCAATTTGATTTAGAACAAAATATTAAAAAAATAATTGTACATAACAGGAAAGTGTAAAATAAAAAGTACATGGAACACTTTGCAGTTTCCAAAGGGTTTCAGATATAATCCAAACTGGAACAGCCTCAATCTGTTATGATAGCAACATTATGTTGAATGAATACTAATAACAACCAAACAAAACTATATTCGAGAATCAACAATTCAGTAAAAATTATATTAATATCGTTGCCGTATAGTAACATTGTGTTAGATAAACTCCTAACACAATATCATTTATTTTGTGTATGATATACAAATCTTGACACCTGAAATTAGTACCACTTTCAATAGTTCTTGGCTTCTTTTGAGACCAATTCAATAGTGTTTATTCATAACTGAAAGATAATGACAGAGGTGATCAGTTTGTTTTTGATTGATCCCATCGAGACTGTAGGCATTGCGGATAAAGTAAATTATAATATTTTCTAGATCATGTTGACCTGTTGACGGAGGGAGTAGTGGGGAAATATGAATGAAGGACTTGGCTCATGATCTAAAGACGTACACAAAAGAGAATAAAAGAAGAAGGCAGAACGGTGGTTGCAAAGCAGTCACCAAACAGACTACTCTTGAACGAAAATGTGCCCTTTCAATCGGGGGATAGTCTGAACACCCTGATTATGTTATTGACAACAGTATAATGGTGGATCCATGATTGTAAGAGAGGAAGAGATTTTTTTTTTTCCCGGGCATATGATCCGTTTATTTTACTGACCCTACTACATTTTCACGTCGGAATGAGTGAGGTGGTGGTGGTGAGAGATGGGCGGGGTGATCCACATACTAGATGTCAAGTCTCAATCTGTTTGAATAGGAACATTGTATTGGGTAAACAATTGCTGACATTAAAAAAATATATATATTGTTATACTTTACATCATGAGACAGTTGCCATCCTCATTCATTTACATAAGCAATACGTTATACAGACATTTGATTGAAGAAAATTGTAAAAACAAACATACATGGAACACTTTTCAATTACCAAATTCACAAATATTATTCACTATCAATCATATAATCTTCATTTTGTTTTTGTATTACGACAGAAAGTTCACTTTTAACATCCATTTCCTGAAACGATCAACTTTTCCTGCCTGCTTCTCCGTTACGGTGTTCCAATAGGGAGAGTAAAATTGTACACTTGCGTATGACTATATAGAAAAGAGTGCACTTCCAGTATAACAAAAACATGTATTGATTTGCTAAGAGTCTAACAAAATATGATCAAATCAATACCTTTGCAGATGATGCTATCGATGACGATGTTGAGTAGAAGTCATCGTGATAATGACCGTTCAGTGTCAGGTCCTTCAGATGAGTCATCTTACAGATGAACTGAGCGAGATCACGTGATGCATAGGGACGTTCCCTGAGATCATGAGAGTCGATATTAAGAGTCTCAATCTGTTATGATACCAACATTATCTTGAATGAATACTAATAACAACCATATAATATTATATTCTAGAATCAACAATTCGTTTTAAATTATATTAATATCGTTGCCACAATGAAAGACTCTCATTACAATCACATTTATTAGGTTTATGATGTACAAGTCTTGACACCTAAAATAAAGTACTAATTTCGGTAGTTTCCCGATTCTTTTGAGACCGATTCAATGGTGTTTATTCAAAAATGATAGGCAACGAAAGAGGTGATGAATATGTTTTTGATTGATCCAATCGGAACTCTTGGCAGTACGGATTTTAAAAAAATAATAATATTTCTAGCTCATATTGACCTGTTGACTGAGGGAGTAGTGGGGAAATATGAATGAAGGACTTGGCTCATGATCTAAAGTCTTACAGAACAAAAGAGAAAAAAGAAGAAGGCAGAACGGTGGTCGCAACGCAGTCACCAAACAGACTACTCTTGAAGGAAAGTGTGTGCTTTCAATCGGGGGATAGTCTGAACTCCCTGATTATGTTATTGACGACATTATAATAGTGAATCCATGAATGTCAGAGAAGAGGGCATTTTTCCCCGGGCATATGATCGGGTAATTTTACTGACCCTTCTACATTTTCACGTCGGAATGAGCGAGGGTGGTGGTGACTGGTCAGGGAGGGGGAGGGGGAGCGATCCACATACTGGATGTCAAGTTTTAATCTGTTATAAAAGTAACATTGTATTCGATAAACAAATGCTGACATTAAAATACATACAAATATTGTTATACTTTACATCATGAGACAGTTGCCATCCTCATGCGCGGCTCCAGGATTTCTTAAGGGTGGTGGCCTATATTTTATTTTATTATTATTATTATTTTTTTAATTTTTTTTAAAAATAAGAGTCCTAAAATATATGATCACATCTATACCTTTGCAGATGATGCCTGCGATGATGATGTTGAATAGAAGTCATCGTGATACCGACCGTCGAGTGTCAGGTCCTTCAGATGAGTCATCTTACAGATGAACTGAGCGAGATCACGTGATGCCGAGGGACGTTTACCGAGATCATCAGAGTCAAACTTAAGAGTCTCAATCTGTTATGATAGCAACATTATGTTGAATGAATACTAATAACAACCAAATAAACTAAATTCAAGAATCAACAAATTGTTTTAAATTGTAATAATATCGTTGCCACAATGAAAAACTCTCATCATATTACATTTATTATGTTTAAGATGTACAAGTCTTGACACCTGAAATAAGTACTTATTTCGGTAGTTCCTCGATTGTTTTGAGACCGATATAATGGTGTTTATTCATATAAATGATAGGTATTAAACGACAGAGGTGACAACAATGCTTTTGATTGATCCAATCGGGACTGTGGGCATTACTGATAAAGAAAATGATAATATTTTCTAGCTCACATTGATCTGTTGGCTGAGGGAGTAGTGGGTAAATATGAATGAAGGACTTGGCTCATGATCTAAAGTCATACAAAACAAAAGAGTAGAAATCAACGCAAAGCGTAGCATCCCCTCGCCGGGTACAATTCACCTTAATTGAGCAATGTTTGCATATTCAATGGGATGTGAACTTTGAGCTTTGATGTATGTACTCAACACCATTACTTACGTTATTGGATTAAAAAAACATTTTCGCGTATATCTAAGAAGGCATTTTCGCATATTTAATGAGCTATAACCTTTGTCTTTTGACCTACATACTCCGAAATTAAAGTGAAGGTTGAGTTCTGGGAAGAGGTGAAAAATAATTTGTGAGCGTTATCATTCTTATCATGCAAGTGTGGAAGAACATCAGATAAGACATGTTCCCTGAAACGCATGGCTCTTCAAATGCCTTCATATTCTAAATATGTAATGTAACATCGTAAAACTCGGGGGTAGGATTTTTACGCCACGTGTTCGTGTAGTCACATATACATCTTTCTGTGTACAGTGTTTGTAACTTTACCAAGACTTGGCCAAATTTCTTATCATTTTGATGATTCCAGAACCTTGCAATACACACAAATTACTATATGCTAGATGATCAACCTTTTCTTGTGGATTCCACACCGTTTCTTTCACAATGCAATCGCATGACCAGAACTCATCTTCATCTTTAAACATAGGCTGTATTTTAAACCACGTGCCTTCATATCAAATTTCATTTACATCCGTTAAACATTAAAGTTATCAAACGGAAACCAGATTTTTTACGGAAGGACAGAAGGAAGGACGTGCGGCAGCTTTACTACATGTACTGTATATCGCCTCTGACTTCGTCGACGAGGGGTTTAATAATACAAGAAGGCATAACGGTCACAAACCAGTGCTCAACTACACTACTCTACATGGAAAATACGGGCTTTTAATCGGGGGAAATCAGAACAACCTGATTATGTTATCGAATACACCATAGTGATGGATCAATGATTGTAAGAGAAGAGGGGATTTTTCATCCCGCGGTCATAATTATTATGATCCGGTAATTTTACTGATCCTATTACATTTAAACGTCGGAATGAATGAGGGGTGGCGGAGGAGGAGGGGGGGGGGGTGGACGATCCACATATTGGATGTCAAGTCGTAATCTGTTATAATAGTTACATTGTATTGGATAAACAATTGCTGACATTACACTTCTTAAAAATAATTTTAAACATTACATCATGCTTTAGTTGCCATCGTCATTATTTTATAAAAGCAATACGTTTTTCTGCAATTTGATTTAGAACAAAATATTGAAAAAATAATTGTGCATAACAGAAAAGTGTGAAATAAAATGTACATGAAACACTTTGCATTTTCCAAAGGGTTTCAGATATAATACAAACGGGGACAAAGAGATTTGACTTTTCATTTTTGTAGGTTTTTATATTTAACTATTTAGTCTCATCAGTATTCACAATTGATATAACTGTCTTTCCATCAGTATTTCCGTAGCACTTCGAATTGTCATATGAAATGAAAAATATGGTCAATATTATTCACTATCAATCATATAATCTTCATTCTGTTTTTGTATAATGACAGCAATTCACTTTTCGCATCCACTTCATGAAAGGATCATCTTTTCTTACCTACTTCCTCTTAATGGTGTACCAATAGGGAGAGTAAAATTGTATACTTGCGTTTCACTATGTAGGAAAGAGTACATCTCAGTATAACAACATTATGTACTGATTTGCTAAGAGTCCAAACAATGCCTCCTATTCATCCAAGCGTGGACACATACCACACAAGAATGATACCAAATGAATTGGGAGGAAACACTCTTTCATGAAATGTATAATAATTTACTGGTCATAGATGATTTTTTAAATAATTAGCAATTTTCTAAGTGTAAACTTTTTTTTGCCTCACACGGTATAGGAAAGAATGCACTTCCAGTATAACAAAAACATGACTTGTAGTGATTTGCTAAGAGTCTAACAAAATATGATCAAATCAATACCTTTGCAGATGATGCCATCGATGACGATGTTGAGTAGAGGTCATCGTGATACTGACCGCAGAGTGTCAGGTCCTTCAGACGAGTCATCTTACAGATGAACTGAGCGAGATCACGTGATGCTGAGGGACGGTCATTGAGATCATCAGAGCGGATGTCAAGAGTCTCAATCTGTTATGATAGCAACAATATGTTGAATATATACTAATAACATCCATATAATACTATATTCTAGAATCAACAATTCGTTTTAAATTATATAAATATCGTTGCCACAATGAAAAACTCTCATTACAATCACATTTATGATGTTTATGATGTACAAGTCTTGACACCTGAAATAAGTACTTATTTCGGTAGTTCCTCGATTGTTTTGAGACCGATATAATGGTGTTTATTCATATAAATGATAGGTATTAAACGACAGAGGTGACAACAATGCTTTTGATTGATCCAATCGGGACTGTGGGCATTACTGATAAAGAAAATGATAATATTTTCTAGCTCACATTGATATGTTGGCTGAGGGAGTAGTGGGTAAATATGAATGAAGGACTTGGCTCATGATCTAAAGTCATACAAAACAAAAGAGTAGAAATCAACGCAAAGCGTAGCATCCCCTCGCCGGGTACAATTCACCTTAATTGAGCAATGTTGCATATTCAATGGAATGTGAACTTTGAGCTTTGATGTATGTACTCAACACCATTACTTAAGTTATTGGATTAAAAAAACATTTTCGCGTATATCTAAGAAGGCATTTTCGCATATTTAATGAGCTATAACCTTTGTCTTTTGACCTACATACTCCGAAATTAAAGTGAAGGTTGAGTTCTGGGAAGAGGTGAAAAATAATTTGTGAGCGTTATCATTCTTATCATGCAAGTGTGGAAGAACATCAGATAAGACATGTTCCCTGAAACGCATGGCTCTTCAAATGCCTTCATATTCTAAATATGTCATGTAACATCGTAAAACTCGGGGGTAGGATTTTTACGCCACGTGTTCGTGTAGTCACATATACATCTTTCTGTGTACAGTGTTTGTAACTTTACCAAGACTTGGCCAAATTTCTTATCATTTTGATGATTCCAGAACCTTGCAATACACACAAATTACTATATGCTAGATGATCAACCTTTTCTTGTGGATTCCACACCGTTTCTTTCACAATGCAATCGCATGACCAGAACTCATCTTCATCTTTAAACATAGGCTGTATTTTAAAACCACGTGCCTTCATATCAAATTTCATTTACATCCGTTAAACATTAAAGTTATCAAACGGAAACCAGATTTTTTACGGAAGGACAGAAGGAAGGACGTGCGGCAGCTTTACTACATGTATATCGACTTCGACTTCGTCGACGAGGGGTTTAATAATACAAGAAGGCATAACGGTCACAAACCAGTGCTCAACTACACTACTCTACATGGAAAATGCGGGCTTTTAATCGGGGGAAATCAGAACAACCTGATTATGTTATCGAATACACCATAGTGATGGATCAATGATTGTAAGAGAAGAGGGGACTTTTCATCCCGCGGTCATAATTATTATGATCCGGTAATTTTACTGATCCTATTACATTTAAACGTCGGAATGAATGAGGGGTGGCGGAGGAGGAGGGGGGGGGGGGGGTGTGGACGATCCACATATTGGATGTCAAGTCGTAATTTGTTATAATAGTTACATTGTATCGGATAAACAATTGCTGACATTACACTTCTTAAAAATAATTTTAAACATTACATCATGCTTCAGTTGCCATCGTCATTATTTTATAAAAGCAATACGTTTTTCTGCAATTTGATTTAGAACAAAATATTGAAAAAATAATTGTGCATAACAGAAAAGTGTGAAATAAAATGTACATGAAACACTTTGCATTTTCCAAAGGGTTTCAGATATAATCCAAACGGGGACAAAGAGATTTGACTTTTCATTTTTGTAGGTTTTTATATTTAACTATTTAGTCTCATCAGCATTCACAATTGATATAACTGTCTTTCCATCAGTATTTCCGTAGCACTTCGAATTGTCATATGAAATGAAAAATATGGTCAATATTATTCACTATCAATCATATAATCTTCATTCTGTTTTTGTATAATGACAGCAATTCACTTTTCGCATCCTCTTCATGAAAGGATCATCTTTTCTTACCTGCTTCCTCTTAATGGTGTACCAATAGGGAGAGTAAAATTGTATACTTGCGTTTCACTATGTAGGAAAGAGTACATCTCAGTATAACAAAATTATGTAGTGATTTGCTAAGAGTCCAAACAATGCCTCCTATTCATCCAAGCGTGGACACATACCACACAAGAATGATACCAAATGAATTGGGATGAAACACTCTTTCATGAAATGTATAATAATTTACTGGTCATAGATGATTTTTTAAATAATTAGCAATTTTCTAAGTGTAAACTTTTTTTTGCCTCACACGGTATAGGAAAGAATGCACCTCCAGTATAACAAAAACATGTAGTGATTTGCTAAGAGTCTAACAAAATATGATCAAATCAATACCTTTGCAGATGATGCCATCGATGACGATGTTGAGTAGAGGTCATCGTGATACTGACCGCAGAGTTTCAGGTCCTTCAGATGAGTCATCTTACAGATGAACTGAGCGAGATCACGTGATGCTGAGGGACGGTCATTGAGATCATCAGAGCGGATGTCAAGAGTCTCAATCTGTATGATAGCAACAATATGTTGAATGAATACTAATAACAACCATATAATACTATATTCTAGAATCAACAATTCGTTTTAAATTATATTAATATCGTTGCCACAATGAAAAACTCTCATTACAATCACATTTATTATGTTTATGATGTACAAGTCTTGACACCTGAAATAAGTACTTATTTCGGTAGTTCCTCGATTGTTTTGAGACCGATATAATGGTGTTTATTCATATAAATGATAGGTATTAAACGACAGAGGTGACAACAATGCTTTTGATTGATCCAATCGGGACTGTGGGCATTACTGATAAAGAAAATGATAATATTTTCTAGATCACATTGATCTGTTGACTGAGGGAGTAGTGGGTAAATTTGAATGAAGGACTTGGCTCATGATCTAAAGTCATACAAAACAAAAGAGAAGAAATCAACGCAAAGCGTAGCATCCCCTCGCCGGGTACAATTCACCTTAATTGAGCAATGTTTGCATATTCAATGGGATGTGAACTTTGAGCTTTGATGTATGTACTCAACACCATTACTTACGTTATTGGATTAAAAAAACATTTTCGCATATATCTAAGAAGGCATTTTCGCATATTTCATGAGCTATAACCTTTGTCTTTTGACCTACATACTCCGAAATTAAAGTGAAGGTTGAGTTCTGGGAAGAGGTGAAAAATAATTTGTGAGCGTTATCATTCTTATCATGCAAGTGTGGAAGAACATCAGATCAGACATGTTCCCTGAAACGCATGGCTCTTCAAATGCCTTCATATTCAAAATATGTCATGTAACATCGTAAAACTCGGGGGTAGGATTTTTACGCCACGTGTTCGTGTAGTCACATATACATCTTTCTGTGTACAGTGTTTGTAACTTTACCAAGACTTGGCCAAATTTCTTATCATTTTGATGATTCCAGAACCTTGCAATACACACAAATTACTATATGCTAGATGATCAACCTTTTCTTGTGGATTCCACACCGTTTCTTTCACAATGCAATCGCATGACCAGAACTCATCTTCATCTTTAAACATAGGCTGTATTTTAAAACCACGTGCCTTCATATCAAATTTCATTTACATCCGTTAAACATTAAAGTTATCAAACGGAAACCAGATTTTTTACGGAAGGACAGAAGGAAGGACGTGCGGCAGCTTTACTACATGTATATCGACTTCGACTTCGTCGACGAGGGGTTTAATAATACAAGAAGGCATAACGGTCACAAACCAGTGCTCAACTACACTACTCTACATGGAAAATGCGGGCTTTTAATCGGGGGAAATCAGAACAACCTGATTATGTTATCGAATACACCATAGTGATGGATCAATGATTGTAAGAGAAGAGGGGACTTTTCATCCCGCGGTCATAATTATTATGATCCGGTAATTTTACTGATCATATTACATTTAAACGTCGGAATGAATGAGGGGTGGCGGAGGAGGAGGGGGGGGGGGGGTGTGGACGATCCACATATTGGATGTCAAGTCGTAATTTGTTATAATAGTTACATTGTATCGGATAAACAATTGCTGACATTACACTTCTTAAAAATAATTTTAAACATTACATCATGCTTCAGTTGCCATCGTCATTATTTTATAAAAGCAATACGTTTTTCTGCAATTTGATTTAGAACAAAATATTGAAAAAATAATTGTGCATAACAGAAAAGTGTGAAATAAAATGTACATGAAACACTTTGCATTTTCCAAAGGGTTTCAGATATAATACAAACGGGGACAAAGAGATTTGACTTTTCATTTTTGTAGGTTTTTATATTTAACTATTTAGTCTCATCAGCATTCACAATTGATATAACTGTCTTTCCATCAGTATTTCCGTAGCACTTCGAATTGTCATATGAAATGAAAAATATGGTCAATATTATTCACTATCAATCATATAATCTTCATTCTGTTTTTGTATAATGACAGCAATTCACTTTTCGCATCCTCTTCATGAAAGGATCATCTTTTCTTACCTGCTTCCTCTTAATGGTGTACCAATAGGGAGAGTAAAATTGTATACTTGCGTTTCACTATGTAGGAAAGAGTACATCTCAGTATAACAAAATTATGTAGTGATTTGCTAAGAGTCCAAACAATGCCTCCTATTCATCCAAGCGTGGACACATACCACACAAGAATGATACCAAATGAATTGGGATGAAACACTCTTTCATGAAATGTATAATAATTTACTGGTCATAGATGATTTTTTAAATAATTAGCAATTTTCTAAGTGTAAACTTTTTTTTGCCTCACACGGTATAGGAAAGAATGCACCTCCAGTATAACAAAAACATGTAGTGATTTGCTAAGAGTCTAACAAAATATGATCAAATCAATACCTTTGCAGATGATGCCATCGATGACGATGTTGAGTAGAGGTCATCGTGATACTGACCGCAGAGTTTCAGGTCCTTCAGATGAGTCATCTTACAGATGAACTGAGCGAGATCACGTGATGCTGAGGGACGGTCATTGAGATCATCAGAGCGGATGTCAAGAGTCTCAATCTGTATGATAGCAACAATATGTTGAATGAATACTAATAACAACCATATAATACTATATTCTAGAATCAACAATTCGTTTTAAATTATATTAATATCGTTGCCACAATGAAAAACTCTCATTACAATCACATTTATTATGTTTATGATGTACAAGTCTTGACACCTGAAATAAGTACTTATTTCGGTAGTTCCTCGATTGTTTTGAGACCGATATAATGGTGTTTATTCATATAAATGATAGGTATTAAACGACAGAGGTGACAACAATGCTTTTGATTGATCCAATCGGGACTGTGGGCATTACTGATAAAGAAAATGATAATATTTTCTAGATCACATTGATCTGTTGACTGAGGGAGTAGTGGGTAAATTTGAATGAAGGACTTGGCTCATGATCTAAAGTCATACAAAACAAAAGAGAAGAAATCAACGCAAAGCGTAGCATCCCCTTGCCGGGTACAATTCACCTTAATTGAGCAATGTTTGCATATTCAATGGGATGTGAACTTTGAGCTTTGATGTATGTACTCAACACCATTACTTACGTTATTGGATTAAAAAAACATTTTCGCATATATCTAAGAAGGCATTTTCGCATATTTCATGAGCTATAACCTTTGTCTTTTGACCTACATACTCCGAAATTAAAGTGAAGGTTGAGTTCTGGGAAGAGGTGAAAAATAATTTGTGAGCGTTATCATTCTTATCATGCAAGTGTGGAAGAACATCAGATCAGACATGTTCCCTGAAACGCATGGCTCTTCAAATGCCTTCATATTCAAAATATGTCATGTAACATCGTAAAACTCGGGGGTAGGATTTTTACGCCACGTGTTCGTGTAGTCACATATACATCTTTCTGTGTACAGTGTTTGTAACTTTACCAAGACTTGGCCAAATTTCTTATCATTTTGATGATTCCAGAACCTTGCAATACACACAAATTACTATATGCTAGATGATCAACCTTTTCTTGTGGATTCCACACCGTTTCTTTCACAATGCAATCGCATGACCAGAACTCATCTTCATCTTTAAACATAGGCTGTATTTTAAAACCACGTGCCTTCATATCAAATTTCATTTACATCCGTTAAACATTAAAGTTATCAAACGGAAACCAGATTTTTTACGGAAGGACAGAAGGAAGGACGTGCGGCAGCTTTACTACATGTATATCGACTTCGACTTCGTCGACGAGGGGTTTAATAATACAAGAAGGCATAACGGTCACAAACCAGTGCTCAACTACACTACTCTACATGGAAAATGCGGGCTTTTAATCGGGGGAAATCAGAACAACCTGATTATGTTATCGACAACGTTATAGTGATGGATCAATGATTGTAAGAGAACAGGGAATTTTATCCCGCGGTCATATGATCTGGTAATTTCACTGATCCTACTACATTCATACGTCTGAATGAGTTAGGGCTGGTGGATGGGAAAGGGGGTGATCCATATACTGGATTTCAAGTCTTAATCTGTTATAAAAGTAACATTGTATTCGATAAACAATTGCTGACATTAAATACATACAAATATTGTTATACTTTACATCATGAGACAGTTGCCATCCTCAGGCGCGGCTCCAGGATTTCTTAGGGGTGGTGGCCCAACTTTGATTTTTTTTTTTTTTTTTTTTTTTTTTTTTTTAAATAATAAGAGTCCTAAAATATATGATCACATCTATACCTTTGCAGATGATGCCATCGACAATGATGTTGAGTAGAAGTCATCGTGACACTGACCGTGGAGTGTCAGGTCCTTCAGATGAGTCATCTTACAGATGAACTGAGCTTGATCACGTGATGCCGAGGGACGTTCATTGAGTTTAGCAGATTTGATGGTAAGAGTCTCAATCTGTTATGATAGCAACATTGTGTTGAATGAATAATAACAACCAAATACAACTATATTCAAGAATTAAAAATTCGTTTTAAATTATATTAATATCGTTGCCACAATGAAAGACTCTCATTACAATCACATTTATTAGGTTTATGATGTACAAGTCTTGACACCTGAAATAAAGTACTAATTTCGGTAGTTTCCCGATTCTTTTGAGACCGATTCAATGGTGTTTATTCACAAATGATCGGCAACGAAAGAGGTGATGAATATGTTTTTGATTGATCCAATCGGAACTCTTGGCAGTACGGATTTTAAAACAATAATAATATTTCTAGCTCATATTGACCTGTTGACTGAGGGAGTAGTGGGGAAATATGAATGAAGGACTTGGCTCATGATCTAAAGTCTTACAGAACAAAAGAGAAAAAGAAGAAGGCAGAACGGTGGTCGCAACGCAGTCACCAAACAGACTACTCTTGAAGGAAAGTGTGTGCTTTCAATGGGGGGATAGTCTGAAGTCCCTGATTATGTTATTGACGACATTATAATAGTGAATCCATGAATGTCAGAGAAGAGGGCATTTTTCCCCGGGCATATGATCGGGTAATTTTACTGACCCTTCTACATTTTCACGTCGGAATGAGCGAGGGTGGTGGTGACTGGTCTGGGAGGGGGAGGGGGAGTGATCCACATACTGGATGTCAAGTCTTAATCTGTTATAAAAGTAACATTGTATTCGATAAACAATTGCTGACATTAAAATACATACAAATATTGTTATACTTTACATCATGAGACAGTTGCCATCCTCATGCGCGGCTCCAGGATTTCTTAAGGGTGGTGGCCCATATTTTATTTTATTATTTTTTTTTTTTTTTTTTTTTTTTTTTCAAATAAGAGTCCTAAAATATATGATCACATCTATACCTTTGCAGATGATGCCATCGATGACGATGTTGAGTAGAAGTTATCGTGATAATGATTGTGGATTGTCAGCTTCTTCAGATGAGACATCTTACAGATGAACTGAGCGAGATCACGTGATGCCGAAGGACGTTCACCGAGATCATCAGAGTCGATATTAAGAGTCTCAATCTGTTATGATAGCAACATTATGTTGAATGAATACTAATAACAACCATATAATACTATATTCTAGAATCAACAATTCGTTTTAAATTATATTAATATCGTTGCCACAATGAAAAACTCTCATTACAATCACATTTATTATGTTTATGATGTACAAGTCTCGACACCTGAAATAAGTACTTATTTCGGTAGTTCCTCGATTGTTTTGAGACCGATATAATGGTGTTTATTCATATAAATGATAGGTATTAAACGACAGAGGTGACAACAATGCTTTTGATTGATCCAATCGGGACTGTGGGCATTACTGATAAAGAAAATGATAATATTTTCTAGATCACATTGATCTGTTGGCTGAGGGAGTAGTGGGTAAATATGAATGAAGGTCTTGGCTCATGATCTAAAGTCATACAAAACAAAAGAGAAGAAATCAACGCAAAGCGTAGCATCCCCTCGCCGGGTACAATTCACCTTAATTGAGCAATGTTTGCATATTCAATGGGATGTGAACTTTGAGCTTTGATGTATGAGCTCAACACCATTACTTACGTTATTGGATTAAAAAAACATTTTCGCGTATATCTAAGAAGGCATTTTCGCATATTTAATGAGCTATAACATTTGTCTTTTGACCTACATACTCCGAAATTAAAGTGAAGGTTGAGTTCTGGGAAGAGGTGAAAAATAATTTGTGAGCGTTATCATTCTTATCATGCAAGTGTGGAAGAACATCAGATAAGACATGTTCCCTGAAAAGCATGGCTCTTCAAATGCCTTCATATTCTAAATATGTCATGTAACATCGTAAAACTCGGGGGTAGGATTTTTACGCCACGTGTTCGTGTAGTCACATATACATCTTTCTGTGTACAGTGTTTGTAACTTTACAAAGACTTGGCCAAATTTCTTATCATTTTGATGATTCCAGAACCTTGCAATACACACAAATTCTTATATGCTAGATGATCAACCTTTTCTGGTCGATTCCACACCGTTTCTTTCACATTGCAATTGCATGACCAGAACTCATCTTCATCTTTAAACATAGGCTGTATTTTAAAACCACTTGCCTTCATATCAAATTTCATTAAAATCCGTTAATTATTATTAAAGTTATCAAACGGAAACCAGATTTTTTACGAAGGACAGAAGGAAGGACGTGCGGCAGCTTTACTACATGTACTGTATATCGCCTCCGACTTCGTCGACGAGGGGTTTAATAATACAAGAAGGCATAACGGTCACAAACCAGTGCTCAACTACACTACTCTACATGGAAAATGCGGGCTTTTAATCGGGGGGAAATCAGAACAACCTGATTATGTTATCGAATACATCATAGTGATGGATCAATGATTGTAAGAGAAGAGGGGATTTTTCATCCCGCGGTCATAATTATTATGATCCGGTAATTTTACTGATCCTATTACATTTAAACGTCGGAATGAATGAGGGGTGGCGGAGGAGGAGGGGGGGGGGGGGTTGGACGATCCACATATTGGATGTCAAGTCGTAATCTGTAATAATAGTTACATTGTATTGGATAAACAATTGCTGACATTACACTTCTTAAAAATAATTTTAAACATTACATCATGCTTCAGTTGCCATCGTCATTATTTTATAAAAGCAATACGTTTTTCTGCAATTTGATTTAGAACAAAATATTGAAAAAATAATTGTGCATAACAGAAAAGTGTAAAATATAATGTACATGAAACATTTTGCATTTTCCAAAGGGTTTCAGATATAATACAAAGGGGACAAAGAGATTTGACTTTTCATTTTTGTAGGTTTTTAAATTTAACTATTTAGTCTCATCAGTATTCACAATTGATATAACTGTCTTTCCATCAGTATTTCCGTAGCACTTCGAATTGTCATATGAAATGAAAAATATGGTCAATATTATTCACTATCAATCATATAATCTTCATTCTGTTTTTGTATAATGACAGCAATTCACTTTTCGCATCCTCTTCATGAAAGGATCATCTTTTCTTACCTGCTTCCTCTTAATGGTGTACCAATAGGGAGAGTAAAATTGTATACTTGCGTTTCACTATGTAGGAAAGAGTACATCTCAGTATAACAAAATTATGTAGTGATTTGCTAAGAGTCCAAACAATGCCTCCTATTCATCCAAGCGTGGACACATACCACACAAGAATGATACCAAATGAATTGGGATGAAACACTCTTTCATGAAATGTATAATAATTTACTGGTCATAGATGATTTTTTAAATAATTAGCAATTTTCTAAGTGTAAACTTTTTTTTGCCTCACACGGTATAGGAAAGAATGCACCTCCAGTATAACAAAAACATGTAGTGATTTGCTAAGAGTCTAACAAAATATGATCAAATCAATACCTTTGCAGATGATGCCATCGATGACGATGTTGAGTAGAAGTCATCGTGATACTGACCGCAGAGTTTCAGCTTCTTCAGATGAGTCATCTTACAGATGAACTGAGCGAGATCACGTGATGCTGAAGGACGGTCATTGAGATCATCAGAGCGGATGTCAAGAGTCTCAATCTGTTATGATAGCAACATTATGTTGAATTATTACTAATAGCAACCAAATAATAATCTTTTTAAGAAACAACAATTTGTTTTAATTGATATCGATGCCACAATGAAAAACTCTTAACACAATACACGTGGCTACGTGCCTGCCAGTGGGCTGAGCCCCGGAAGCTCTTGGGTTTCAGGTATTTTATTACGGTCAGATGAGCATCCAGGGGACTACCTTTGGGCCCTTGGTGGGGTCCGGGAGCGGAGCTCTCGTGAACTCTGGGGTTTTCGGCATTTAATTAAGGTCAGATGAGCATATTTTGATACCTCATTTGTGACATTGGCAGGTCACTTATTTTTTCTCTCTCTCTTTCTTTCTTTTTCTCTGTAACATACTTTGTCAAAAAGTGACGGGGGCTCGAGCCCCCGATCCCAGCCGTTTTGCAAATCATGACATAATGGCTTCTAAATAAGCATATTTTTCGCCCGACTGTAAATTTGGGAATTTCTAATTTTTCAACAAACGCATAAAAAGGTATGACTTACAAAAACCGGGAAATCATGTCATTTCAGCAACATTTTTAAATCACTGGTATCGAATAAGAAATACCCCCCCCCCCCCTCCCCCCATCAGTACGCCAGCGTTCAGGGGCTCATGTCTTCTCACCTCTATAACAAAAAACAGACCCTCCCGCTTCCGGCGCCTATGACCAAAAGGATACATAAATAATACAAACAGGGACGGACTGATTCGGTTCATCATTAGTGAAGTTCTGTAAATTAAACTATTTTGTCTCATCAGTATTCACAATTGAAATAGCTGTCTCTCCATTAGTAATTCCGTAGCATTTCGAATTGACATATGAAATTTGAAATATGGTTTATATCATGCACATTTAATCTCATAATCTTCACATGTTTTTGTATTATGACGGAAATTCACTTTTAGGATCCACTTCCTGAAACGATCAACTTTTGCTACCTGCTTCTCCTTCACGGTGTTCCAATGGAGAGAGTAAAATTGTACACTTGCGTTTGACTATACAGTGCATCCCAGAAAAAACGAAACCGAGAATTATCGATGTTTTATCGTAACTTAATCACAATTATAATTGATAAATGACACATATATATGTAAAGCTTAGATCCTCTTCTTTCATTTTGTGCAACTCGTATAATCCATATTTCACGCATGAGTGATTAAAATGAATTTGAAGAGAGGAAAACAAAAAGTCATTTGGCGGACGGTATCTGAATTTCAAAGAGAAAATCACATTTCTAGAAAGTTGAGTTTCTGCCCTTTCATAAGACATCTTAGTCCGGAAAAATGAGCTTGGAATAAAAAAAGTTCTGTTTGTTTAAAGCAGTGCATGCATTTCCATAATTTTATTAAACGAATTTGTTTTCACTGACTGTCTGCTGTAGCAACAAACAGAATTAACAAAAGACTTAACTCTGTTTCGTTGACAAACGGCCGTAGATGAAAGACTTCATGCATGGCTGATTGTCAACGCAACGGAGTTAAGTCTTTTGTCAATTCTGCTTGTTGCTACGGCAGGGAGCCAATGAAAACTAATTCGTTTGATAAAATTATGGAACTGCAAGCACTATTTAAACAAACAGAACTTTGTCATTCCTTGCTCATTTTTCATGATTGAGGTGTCATATGAAAGGACAGAAACTCGACTTTTAGAAATAATATTTTTTCTTTGAAATTCAGATACCGTCCGCCAAATGACTTTTTGGTTTCCTCTCTTCATATTCATTTTTATCACTCATGCATGATATATGCATCATATGAGTTGCATTAAATGAAAGAGAAGAATCTAAGCTTTCTAAATATGTGTCATTTATTAATTATAAATGTGACTAAGTTATGATAAAACATCGATAGTTCTCGGTTTCATTTTTTCTGGGACGCACTGTCAAAAAAACATGAAGTGTGTTGCTAAGAGTCCAAACAAAATATGATCAATTCAATACCTTTGCAGATGATGCCATCGATGACGATGTTGAGTAGAAGGCATCGTGATACTGACCCTTGAGTGTCAGCTTCTTCAGATGAGTCATCTTACAGATGAATTGAGCGAGATCACGTGATGCAGAGGGACGTTCACTGAGATCATCAGAGTGAATGTCAAGAGTCTCAATCTGTTGTAATAGCACGACATCATGTTGGATACACAATTGCTGACATTATTATAACATTACATTTTTTTGCTTCCACTAAAAGCGTAATTTTTTTCCTAATTGTTTTTTTTATCAACGGCGTACTAGTTTATACAGTAAAATCATCCAATTTAGTTTGACTATCGAAATGAGTAAACTTCCAATGGATCCCCGCACCCGTCATCTCGGCAATTTCATGCCTCTCCTCTGTCCCGTAATGAGCAATATATTTGTCCCTGATATGCATTCGAAAAACAAATTATATAGCGTGAATCAATTGTGCAGAATTTGTAATTCAATGCATTTTTCAGAAGACTCTATATTCTAGTCTCTAGACATGTCTGGACTCTTGAAAACGATACAATATTGGAGAAATACGTTCCTTTATAAAAAGTAAAAATATTCATTTCAGTTTATAAATCTTAAAGATGCAAACATAAATTTGCATTAAGTATGCATCTGGAAATTACATATTTATTAATGTTCATCTGTACAAGCATAGAAGAAATAGATTCATTACAAGGGTAAAGGAAAGGGAAAAGAGGAAAATAAAGCAAGTGTTTGAGTGTGTGGCAAAGAGAGAGGGAGAGAGAAAGAGAGAGCAAGTTGCTTTTGCACCAGCTTTTCGTTGTTAAGTGAGTTCCTATATTTTGGACCGTGTTTCGAGACGAATACGAGTGAGAGGAAGGTGGAAATGATTGGATTGTCTGGTTGGGTATTGTAATAATGGTATGTACAGATATTTAACATGTACAGATTTAAACATGCTTAGTTAAAAAATACATAACATCACGACAATAGGTACTGGAAATATATGAGTTTTAAATAAGAAAAGTTTAGCTTTGGATTTAGCTTTTTTATAAATTATTCTAATGGCTATCTGTTTTAAAACAGTAATTGTACTGGTAGGGCTTTAATAGTGTTCTCAAGATCCGTTATCGAATATTCCCAGACTATTGCAACGGTTGCCATAATAGTCACCTTTAAGGAGAAAATAAATGACATGAGTTGATGAATATCAGCGATGAAAATAAAATTTTGCAACATAAAAGTGAATATAAAGATGCAAAGAGTCAAGCTATGGTTATACAATTTAGCCATCACTAATCCAAAAGCATAATCTTCTCCTTTTTTTGCAAACAATGTTATTTATAATGCTAAATGTATTATTCATTGCGGATATAGTATCAAAAATAATATCGCTAGTGACATTCGTTTGTTTCGCAAATCGCAATGTATGGTCAACAAGGGATCTGAAAGATCACGACGTTTCGTGTGCCTCTGCTACACTTCGTCACGTGATAAAATAAATTGTACGCAAGCGTATTTTATATTATACGGGTGGACCGGGTGGACCGGGTGTCAAATAATTAGAACAATAACGGACAAGGCCTATTGGTCGAAGCACACGGGTGCTCAACCAATCAACGGGCCGCTGGATCGATGCGGGGCGGCTTGACGGGGAGTGTCATGGCGGCGTATCGTACGCATCCAAAATAGACGTATTAACCCTCCGTGTGTACCAATGTCAGGCTACGGGAAAGACACGGAGTCTCGTCATGCTACACACCCTTTAATATAGTGGTCCGGGATTTCCTAAAAGTGTAAGGGCATCTTTTTGCCGGGGAATAAGATTCATTAATCACACTGACTCTCTCGTATTTTTGCGATCGGGGAGAAACAAAAATCATTATAAACATTGATATCTTGTTTTCTTCCTCGATCCTTTACCATTCACTAAAGTTAGGGCAAGTCCACTAAAAAAATAAATTACTTTCAATAAAAGCAGAAATATTGATAGTAATATGTTTTTGTGTGGATGCACTAATATAGAGTAATTTGTTTCAGTTAATTGATGAAAATTAAAATTTTGATAAACTATTTATATAAAAATCAATGATTATGAATTCATTCAGAAAATAGTATCAATTTTTTCAAAGTTCATGAAAGATTTTGTGAAATGCCATGCACGCAATATGATCCAAATCAAATCACATAACCTGGTCAAAGGAATGGGAAAATCAAGGTTTGGTGGATAAAAAGGGACACGAATGGGATAAACACATAAGCAATTGTTAAATAGTGAGGCAATGACGTCATAAACTGATAACCAAATTGGCAATATGCGTAGTGGTTTTCTAAGTTCCGTAGTTTTTAACAAATTCACAATTTCATTATTAGTTATCCGACTTTACTCAATTTGTTTTGGCTCTGTTTTGCTTATGTTTTTCTGCATATATGAAAAGCAAATTATTTTTGGAACGGGCTTATCCTTTAAATTAGGGAAGAATTGGGGAGTTAAGATTAGAGTGATCAAAAATGACGAAAATAATTGATTTGGCAACCCACTGGTTTAAATCATTAAATGTAACATCAAACATAAATAGTTTAAAGATACTAAGTCCCTTTTGCAGCCAACATCAAATTCTGTAGAACTTTGCAGGAATTATGAATATGTCATGTTTGTCCCATCTGTGATATTTAAACATTAGCAGTGTCATAATATTCAAATTATACAAGGATATCCGTTTACCTTCTAGCCTTTACTGTCAGACACTATTTAGTGACTGACTGACATTTTTTCTTCTTCTTTGGTAATAACATACCTAAAATGAGCTGTAACAGGAACATGGGCATTTCTCTACATCAATAACCCACTTGTAATGGCCATAATAAGACTGATTGAATCTTCGTGCAGCACAAAACGTACGACCATTCGGTAAAAGGGTCTGAAAATCTGACTATTGCTTAGGTGATTGCAATCACTTTAGTCGATTCGACAACTACTGGTCGTTATTTTTCCAGTAAAAGCCTTTTTAAAGCCCTTTCGTTTTGAGGGAAGTTCTAAATTAGTATTGTCTTTCAAATGCCGTTGGAATTTAACCTTTTCATTTTTTTTAATGTAATATTCTCTCTTTTTTGTACTAAAAATGAATTCAAGATGTTTGAAATTAAAGTACTTTTGTAAAACCAAATCTCTGTTTCCCAGTTTTCTCCTCAGTCATTTCGATCTTATGACACCAGGAAAACTATTATCCTGACTGAATGTGGCATCCATTTTTTTAAAAGAATGACGTACCAAATAAACGACAACGTGGATGATACAAAGATTTATACTGACCTTGGAATCGACTGCTTTATTCGCAAGCACCGAGTAGAAAATATCATGCATAGTACCAGTAACTTGAGTAAGATCGATCGTAACAGATCTCAGTGATCGTGATGAGCACATGAATTCAGCCAGGTCCTCTGAAGCCGTGCGTCCACATGGCTTCTTGATAATCAGGTCATCCTGCAATGAACATGTACACAAATAATATAGTGAGGCTAGAAACGTAAACATCAACATAATAGTATATTATCCTGATTAATCACCTTCATTGATACTGATGTTTTAATAAGCTTTTTTTTCCCCTTCCATTTTCCGTTTGGTTCCTATTTTGTTTTCATAATCTAGATATCGATATGAATATCAAATAATATCTTAACAACATTACGCATTTTAAAGGAACTATTGTGATCTCACAAAATATTTAAAAAATGGGTTCAGTACGTTATCTCATAATAATTTAAGTTAGCGTTTTATCATATTGTTTTGAACAGTATACACTTGGAAATCCTATTGGGATTGGTGATATTAATAGCGTTATTGTATTAAACAAGGTTTCATTGCAAATACATTCAAGACGGGTTGTACTGCAATAACAATTAATTACAACTCCTATTAATAGACTAAAGTCCCAATACTTATTAATTCTTGTTAATAATAGTTCATTTTGTTCGTGTACATTGCAGTGTTCAAATTAAAAGCGATGATCGGAGTTTTACCCATGCTAGAACCATAGAAGTTGCTTTAAACATGCTCCTGATTTAATAAAATGTATTCTATCAAGCTTCTGGGTGAATTTGGGTGACGAGAAGTTTGTACAGTATGCATTGCCTTATTAGTGCATGTTGGGGTTCAAAGCATCGTTCGTATACACATTATATATTTACAGTCATATGTTCAAACCAAATTGAGTTGCATTAAATGAAAGAGAAGAATCTAAGCTTTCCAAATATGTGTCATTTATTAATTATAAATGTGACTAAGTTATGATAAAACATCGATAGTTCTCGGTTTCATTTTTTCTGGGACGCACTGTCAAAAAAACATGAAGAGTGTTGCTAAGAGTCCAAACAAAATATGATCAATTCAATACCTTTGCAGATGATGCCATCGATGACGATGTTGAGTAGAAGGCATCGTGATACTGACCCTTGAGTGTCAGGTCCTTCAGATGAGTCATTTTAAAGATGAATTGAGCGACATCACGTGATGCAGAGGGACGTTCACTGAGATCACCAGAGTGAATGTCAAGAGTCTCAATCTGTTGTAATAGCACGACATCATGTTGGATACACAATTGCTGACATTACTATACTGAATTATATATAACATTACATTTTTTTGCTTCCACTAAAAGCTTAATTTTTTTCCTAATTGTTTTTTTATCAACGGCGTACTAGTTTATACAGTAAAATCATCCAATTTAGTTTGACTATCGAAATGAGTAAACTTCCAATGGATCCCCACACCCGTCATCTCGGCAATTTCATGCCTCTCCTCTGTCCCGTAATGAGCAATATATTTGTCCCTGATATGCATTCGAAAAACAAATTATATAGCGTGAATCAATTATGCAGAATTTGTAATTCAATGCATTTTTCAGAAGACTCTATATTCTTGTCTTTAGACATGTCTGGACTCTTGAAAGGATACAATATTGGAGAAATATTTTCCTTTATAAAAAGTAAAAATATTAATTTTAGTTTTTGTAAAGCTTAAAGATGCATACGTAAATTTGCATAAGGTATGCATATGGAAATTACATATTTATGAATGTTCAAGTTTACCAGCATAGAGAGGAATAGAATCATAACAAAATGGTCAGACTAAATTTTTTTTTTTATGTAGAAACTTTTTATAATTGTTTAATATTATGTAATTGTTGATTTTGAATTATGATAATTGTATGCGTTAAAACAAATATTTTGCCTTATTTGAACTTTATCAGAGGACGTAAAAGCTATTGGCTTGATTTCTATAACCAAACACAACTATTCTTTCCCAGGGAAGAATTTTCTGTCTCCACTACTCATCAACTGCTGATATATATTGGGAATTGTTTTTTTTGTTTTGTTAAGTATTTAAAAAAAAAAAGTAATATGTATTCTCAATTATTTCTTAAGTATGGATTTTTAATGAATTCCTAACATTAATATGAAAACGCTATTCGCAATTCTGCCTGTTCGTGAATGTATCATACATTAGGTGTTAATTTTATATGATTCACATGTTATGACCTTTGTGATAATTTATTTGTGATAGCAGAGCATGTGGAAAGATATGCTTTTATATTACATGCCTCAAAACATAGTTAAAATAATTTGAGATTGGGTCATTAAAATAATTAGAAACACCCTAAACAGACATTTTGACAACAAAAACAAAAAAGTGTGATGGGGTAGGTGCAAAAATTGTCTCCACCCCATCGGAAAAGTAATTGAAAACGTCAAGGATAGGTGCTAAACGGGGTTGAAATAGTGAAAGAGAAAGAGAGAGAGAAAAAGAAAGAAAAAGAGAAATATATTTGTTATTGTTGTTGAATATTTCTATTTGGTTCCCTACATGCGTGCCATAGACGTTTTAAATTTAAATTTGTTTTTCTATAAGCAAATTTCTGTTTCCCAGTATTTTCCTAAATTATTTCAATCCTGACTGAATTTGGCATCCATTTTTTTTAAAGAATGATGTACCAAATAAACGACAACGTATATAAAGATTCATACTGACCTTGGAATTGACTGCTTTATTCGCAAGCACCGAGTAGAATACGTCATGCATAGTACCAGTAACTTGAGTAAGATCGACCTTCACAGATCTCAGTGATCTAGATGAGCACATGAATTCAGCCAGGTTCTCTGAAGCCGTGCGTCCACATGGCTTCTCAATAATCAGATCATCCTGCAATTACATGTACACAAATAATATTGTGAGGCTGGAAACATAAACCATCAACATAATAATATATTATCCTGATTAATCACCTGCATTGATACTGATTTTGTAATAAGTTTGTTTTCTTCTTCAATTTTCCGTTTGGTTCTTATTCTGTTTTCATAATCTACATGTATGAACATCAAATAATACAATAATAACATTATGCATTTTAAAGAAATTATTGTGATCTCACAAAATATTTAAAAAATGGGTTCAGTACGTTATCTCATAATAATTTAAGTTAGCGTTTTATCATATTGTTTTGAACAGTATACACTTGGAAATCCTATTGGGATTGGTGATATTAATAGCGTTATTTTATTAAACAAGGTTTCATTGCAAATACATTCAAGACGGGTTGTACTGCAATAACAATTAATTACAACTCCTATTAACAGACTAAAGTCCTAATACTCATTGATTCTTGTTAATAATAGTTCATTTTGTTCGTGTACATTGCAGTGTTCAAATTAAAAGCGATGATCGGAATTGAACCCATGCTAGAACCATAAAAGTTACTTTAAACATGCTCCTGATTTAAATAAAATGTATTCTATCAAGCTTCTGGGTGAATTTGGGTGTGACGAGAAGTTTTTACAGTATGCATTGCCTTATTAGCGCATGTCGGGGTTCAAAGCATCGTTCGTATACACAGTATGTATACAGTCATGTGTTCAAACCAAACGAGGTCATCCTATTAAAGTCTTTCACTCAAAGAGATCAAACAAAGATAAAATGCATACGTTGCTACAATTCGATGTTACTTTCCTTACCACTTCGCGATGATTCATGATGAAAATATGCCCTGATACTGTGTGTGCCTGCATCTCCTTGGTGATCCTCAGTGTCTTTCTGGACGCAGTCGATAGATGATCCGCCACTGCTTTGGCCACTGCTTGGTCTTGGCTCTCATATGCTACGTCTACGATGAAGTCATCATCAATATGGCCCAATGGGCTCTCTCTTTTCGACGACATGAGACGAGATACGATATCCAAGCCGACCTCCTTCTGCTGGGCCGAGGTGAAGTACAGTAGGTAGCGGTATTCCACTGCGCGGGGTATGATATTCGCTATCAACCTGTCATACTCATTACGGTTTGACTTGTTAAGAGATGCAAGATACATTCCTGATAGATACTCCTGGAAGAGCTTATGGGGAAACTGCACTGATTGGACTAATGAAGTCGGAGTATTTCTTCTCTCTCGCCTCGGAAGAATTTTCTTCTCTCTGGTGAGTACACCAACTTTGCAACCTACATCGATGGACACTGGATAGCTCTGAAACTCTTCTTCTGTGAATACTAACCGTCGCTCGAGAAGTCCCTGGAAGGCAATGCGGCCGATGTGAATCAGGTGATGACGAATATCTGAACAATGTTCACTTAATTTGCCTCCAACAATACCTGAAGATGGAATGTGCTTTGATAGGTAATGATCAACTAAAAAGTCAATCATCTGATTGAAGAGCTGGGAAAATGTTTGCAGCTTGGACATTGCCTCTCGACGCTCTCCATCAAACTCTTTCCACATGATACACAGCATGGCTGTGTATATAGGGTATGGGGCCATGTTCTCTCTGATCACATCGTTGTTTGATATGAATTGGCTCAGATCTTCAGAGGAAGCTGCGTCTGGATGAAAGAACTTGGTGATGTAAGAAGAGAGGTTTTCAGCAGAGAAACCTTCCACAGCAATGAAAGCAAACACCTTTCTGAGATCGGCATTCTTCCTAATCTCATCTGATCTCCATTGTCTCGATGTGATTAGTACTGTCCCTGACTTGAACAGACGATTGAGAGTGATCAGGGCGATTTGCTGATTGCTGTCAAGGTCGACAGCAAACTCATCTAGGCCGTCCAGGACAAGAAAGACGTCTTTCGGATTCGAGAGGATGTGCTTGTCTAGCTGTTTGGCTGTAACCGGATTGTCTTCTGGAAGATACGACTTCACTATCTCTCCAACAGTTCTGGCCTCTGCCTTACGAAGTAGGATGACAAGAACCAGTTTGAAATCTTGGTATCCTTTTCCGTTGATCCAATCCCAAGCGATCTTGGCGCAAAAAGTGGTCTTTCCTACACCCCCTTCACCTTCTACCAGCAAGCGTTTGGGATAGGTTCCGTTGACTTTGGTCCTGAGGAGGTTGTCGTAGAGAAGCGGTGTCTTGAGATTTGTACCTTTGTCTTCTTCCATCAACGTTAGATTGGTGAAGATACGTTTAAATTCAAGTACAAGTTCATTGTTCAGTGGATCGGCTTGAATCTGGCATAGATGAATTGCAAAATAGTGTTTGACCTCTTCAGCAACCCGTTGGATTTCCTCCTCTGTCATGGACGGTATGTGATCACCAACCTGACCTGTGATGAGATGGTGAAGAACGTTGTCTTTAAAATGACTAGAAAATATGACCAGTGTTTTAATATCACACAACAGCAGTACTAGCATCAGCAGCAACAACAACAACGGGGGAAAATTATGTAGCACAGTATCGTATCATCAGAATAAATAATTTCCTAAATCTCTATTTATATTTTCATTCGGATCAGGGGGAACCATTTTTTCTCCTAGGGGCTCTCACATTGTGTAATGGGTTGACGTTGTACCTTGAAATCAGTCCTCCAGGAAAGGATTATTTAGGTCAATGCTAGAATGTCAATCCCTTTCGATCAAAAAATGAGGTCCTGCGCAAAGTGACGTATAAAATGTGCATAATCTTGTACTTTTCATAACAAAACAAGTTAAAACGATTGTCTACTTTAAAAGGTACGCTCCTGGTTTGTTAGGCATACCATTCATCACGTTGCCTGTGTACGCATGTATATTCCCCGTGTCCACACACACAATTTTCATCGTATGGCTATCCCGAAACGTAATACCGTTTCCATGATAGCCATACGATGAAATTGTGCTGGTAACTTCTTGGTAATACTATACCTTTATGCACGCTATCAGCAAGCTGTACCAGCTTAATTCGTTGCAACGTGACCACCAACGTCTCCCTCGCCTCGCTTTCACGTACTCTCTTCCGCCATTCGTAAAGCATCTTATAGGTAGCATACAGAGTGTTGCCCATCTGATCTTTCTCAAACCGACTTAGTTCAGCCTCAGTGAATCCCAAAGCTAGCCCGACCTTCCTGAAATCTGATGGATCCATATTGTCAGCAAGGAGATATAGTTCGAGGTCGGTCAGGTTCCCAAGTCTAAATCATTAGACAAAAGAAAAAATAATAATATACAGCTTACATATATTTGTGAGGTTTTATAATCAAAGAACTTTCCTTCGATTATCATCTCGAGTGAATACCCTTATTTGCATTGTATTAAAACATTTTCCAACATTTGCTAGAATGCAAGCACTCTAAAAATATTGCAAAATATGGACCTGTTAACATGACGGAAATACGCGAAACTTCTACTGTCACCATTTGCTTTCATTGATCAATTGGTATATTCCAATTAAGTTTTTTACCAACAAATTCATTGGCCCGTATTCTGCCAAAATTTAAACCTCCTGGTGAGTTAAAACTTTAGTTCATAATCAGGTTTAAAATGGAAATTAGTCTGAAGTTTAATGAAGTTTATCTTTAAACGTGATCTCCTATCAAGGGTCGGGCGTACCTCAATTAACAGAATAAGGACCAAAGTCGCTCTTTCATTGTGCTTACTTATCATTTGGGCCAGGGTTTAGTTCTACATCACCGGATCTCAATAGAAGTATGTTGGTCATGTCTGGACAGTCATTCCCTTTCATTTCATCTGCTTCACAGCTGGTTGTCCCTGATCCGAGGACCGGATAGATCGGGGATTCATGATACTCCGTTACTTCCTAAGAATGAAGAAAGAAATTACGAATAGATGACACAATTTTAACTCTGTAAACTATATACATGCTATACTGAGATAACATCATTGCGCCACAGTGCATTTCTGGCGGGGATTTTTTATCAATGGTTTCTAGTTTATTCTTGAATTTATAATACAACAAATAGCGCTGACAGATGATAGAAGGATGTTTATGTAGCCATTGGACAAGATGGGCAGACAATTCGAGATATTCCGTTACTTCCAATTTTCAAAAGAATAATCAGACATTATTTGAAGAAAAAACATGTAGAATCACGGGAGTACATGAATTCTGTGAAAAGGGTTAAGAGCAATTTTACCACTATTTACGGTTGTCACAAACGTCAAACCTACACTTTTCACAGCAAATTTAGATAAGCTGTCCTCTATAATAGCTCCAATTTGCCTAGCTACCTGTTCTGGTTTAAGCCCCGTTTACAAAAAAAATTGTTTTATACGTTTTTTTTTATTCCGATTTATTGTTCGCATGTTTTTCTCACTGTTTTGTTTTTCTTTCTTTGATGTTTTTATGTGAGTAGTGAGGTTATTAATCATACCCTGATGGATGATGTTCTTTGGTCGGTATTATTCGTGGTATCTAGTCTGTGTTTAGGTGATAGGTCCGATGATTGGTCCTCTATCCCCGACGGTGCAGAGTCTGATGTTTCCTCCTTCTCTCGATTGATACGATCTGTCTCACCATGAACGTCTGCAGGTACTACATGTGAGTGCGACTCTGATGTGTCAACTTCAGGTTTGTCTGTTTTACTTATTTGGGCGGATTTCGGGGTGTATTCATGTGACATGAGATTAAGAGTTATGTCTTTATTGTCCATTTCGTCTTCTACACAGGGTTGGGGAACTGGAATTGTCACATCCGTGGAATCAGGGACAGGGTTGGTCTCTTTTTCAATTGAAGAACCACTGTTTTCAGCACATGAAGACTCAGAGTGAGAGACATCGTTATGACCGGGGTTATTTACATCGCACGGGAATCCACTCTCCTTGACAGTATCACACATTGGGCCGTCAGATTGTGAGAGAGTCGGTGAGCTTGCGTTACCTTTGCCATTGTTGACGTCACGTGAAGACCCTGTTTGAGCAGAAGATGCAGACTGACGGGCCGTGTTGCTTGGAGATCTATTCGCATCGGGCGAAGAGCCAGTGCGAGATGAGCTGTTACTCTCAGGATTGTTGTTTTCTTTGGGTGGCTCAGCATTCTTGTGTTTTTTAATTAAGTTGTGGAGTTTCCTCCAAAAGTAGTGGTAGTCATATTCTTTCCTCCGACGTCGCATAAACGTGCCGATCCTGACACGCCATTCACCAAGAGACACAGGCATGGTGACATCAGGATACTATGTTATTCAAGAGAGAAAAAAAATTAATGCAGAGTTAGTTCATGAGACGGGCAACATGACTTTGTATAAGAAAATAGTGTCAAATCTTTGTACGGATTTATCTTAACATGCCATGTATGGAATACGTATTGATTTTAAATTACATAATATCTCATCTTTGAAAGTCAATTTAATGCATGGTGCTTTAATGTAAATTTGCACAACTCTTTATATTCCGCAATCCCCTCGAGACAACTACCACCGGGAAAACGGGAAAAATGTCCTGAAGCTATCATGGCAAATGCTGAATATTTTCAAATACATGATGTCAGACAAATTAGACAGAGTAAAACAGAGCTACAATGGAGCATACTGGTTAGTGGGTGTGTATTATGTGCGCGTGTTGTTTGTATGTATGTGTACGTGTCTGTGCCTGCAACACAATGCCGCTGATACTTCTGATACAAATGGAAAACGGAAAATACATTTTCTCTTTCATGGCAAGCAAAATAATCAGAATCATTGTCAGGAAAGACAAGTGCAGCTATCTGCGTCTGGTCCATTTCGACCGCCGCCCCCCCCCCCCCTCCCCCTCAGTGTTATTTAGGGTACGCAGCGTGTTCCCAGCACCCCGCCTTTTGTCAGCATAAGTCCGGTGTGTAAAGTCAATACGGGTAGACCTTTTGCTTTTGTTATACGAGCCTTTTCAGCATCCCCCCTGTCACACCCACAAATGTAATAACGCCCACAAATGTAATAACGCCCACAAATGTAATAACACTTTACCCACGAATGTAATAACACCCACAAATGTAATAACACTCTACCCACAAATGTAATAATTTCACCCACAAATGTAATAACCACTTTACCCACAAATGTAATAATTTTGAATCAACCACAAATGGGGGTGTTACACCCACAAATGTAATAACGCCCACAAATGTAATAACACTTTACCTACAAATGTAATAACACCCACAAATGTAATAACACTTTACCCAAAAATGTAATAATTTCACCCACAAATGTAATAACCACTTTTACCCACAAATGTAATAATTTTGAATCAACCACAAATGGGGGTGTTACACCCACACATGTAATAACGCCCACAAATGTAATAACGCCCACAAATGTAACAACACCTTACCCACAAATGTAATAACACTTTACCCACAAATGTAATAATTTCGCCCACAAATGTAATAACCACTTTACCCACAAAAGTAATAATTTCGAATCACCCACAAATGTAATAATGACTTTACCCACAAATGTATAACAGTAATAAATTTGAAGTGATATTTTGTCGAATTTGTTCAAAACTAAAACCCTGTAATAAAGCATGGGTATAGCGCAGTCTTTACTCCAGACCCGGTTATTTCAAAAAATTAAATAATCTTCAAATCTAAGACCCCATAATCCTTTTTCCTGTGGAATAACATGAGAATCGAGCGTAATCTTTCCTCCAGACACGGTTATTCAAAAGTTAAAAAAAAAAAAAAAAACGTTTAAAATAAGACCCCACCATCTTCCAAACTAAGACCCGGTAATAAAGCATGGGGTTAGAGCGTAGTTTTTCTTCCAGACCCGGTTATTTCAAAACTTTTTAAAAATCCGCAAAAATAAGACCCCATCATCTTATTCCTGTGGAAGAATTGTTGTTGTTTTAGTTTTAAGGGCGTGTGTCATTCAATTGTGAATATTTACGCCGAACATGAGTATTGAGTGTAGTCTTTCCTCCAGACCCGGTTATTCAAAAGTTTTTGAAAAAAAAATCAAAACAAAACAAAACAAAACAAAGAAAAAACCTTTTAAACTAAGACCCCTCCATCTTCCAAATTAAGACCCGGTAATAAAGCATGGGATAAGAGCGTAGTCTTTACTTCAGACTCGGTTATTTAAAACAAAATGAACAATCTTCAAACTAAGACCTCACCATCTCATTCCTGTGGAATAACATGGGTATAGAGCGTAGTCTTTCCTCCAGACCCGGTTATTTCAAAAGAAATAGAAATTTAAACAAATCTTCGAAACTAAGACCCACCATCTTATTCCTCTTTTTTTTCATTTAAAAATAAATTACATTATTACATATGTGGATACAACACGTCACAAATAAATGATTGGTCGGCGGTCACACGAACTGACGAATCAGTCAAAATGGTCCATATATATAACACACAGAGGAGGGACCGATTCGATGGTTCGTTGACCGTCGACGATTTTTTAATCATGTAAATATTCTAACGCCCACAAAGATCCTGGAATTCAACGTTCGTAGAAAAAAAAAGTAATCGAATGAGTGACCTTAAATGTATTTAAATATTGACGCTGATTGTTTTATGCATGTGATTATGAAATATGTTCACGATATGTAACATAATATATATATATATATATATGTACGCCATAAGTGACATTGAAACGTTGGATTGCGATGTTATATTTTCATGAGTGCGTGAATGAATTACCTTTCTTCATGTGATGAACGTATCAATTACTTATACTGAATACTACCAATTGGTACGCGGTACACGGTGTGAATTCATGAGAACGAAATTTATTCAAAGGCAAATACAAACAAAACACATTTATATTACAGTTTTCCCTACTTCTGAAACACTCGAGCAGCTATTTAAACAAGAACAAGTCTGAAATGATGACTGGGTCTTAATTTGGAAGATGGAGGGGTCTTAGTTTAAAAGGTTTTTTCTTTGTTTTTTTTTCTTGTTTTTTTTTGTTTGTTTTTTAACTTTTGAATAACCGGGTCTGGAGGAAAGACTACGCTCAATACTCATGTTCTTCCACAGGAATAAGATGATGGGGTCTTAGTTTTGAAGATTTTTAAAAAGTTTTGAAATAACCGGGTCTGGAAGAAAAACTACGCTCTAAACCCATGCTTTATTACCGGGTCTTAGTTTGGAAGATGGTGGGGTCTTAGTTTAAAAGTTTTTTTTTTTTTTTTTTTTACTTTTGAAAAACCGTGTCTGGAGGAAAGACTACGCTCGATTCTCATGTTATTCCACAGGAAAAGGATTATGGGGTCTTAGTTTTGAAGATTTTTTAATTTTTTGAAATAACCGGGTCTGGAGTAAAGACTGCGCTATACCCATGCTTTATTACAGGGTTTTAGTTTTGAACAAATTCGACAAAATATTACTTCAAATTTATTACATTTGTGGGTAAGTCATTATTACATTTGTGGGCAATTCAAAATTATTACATTTGTGGGTGAAATTATTTCATTTGTGGGTAAAGTGTTATTACATTTGTGGGTGTTATTACATTTGTGGGTAAAGTGTTATTACATTTGTGGGCGTTATTACATTTGTGGGCGTTATTACATTTGTGGGTGTAACACCCCCCCCCCCCCCCCCCCCTTTCAGCATAAGTCCGGTGTGTAAAGTCAATACGGGTAGACATTTTTCTTTTGTTACGAGCCGGAGGATTTGGGAACACGCATGGTATCCCTCCGTTCACCCGGAGTGGGGGGGGGGGGGGGCATTTCGAAGAAAATCCCTGTGTGTTTTTGTTTAATGCACGTGGCATGTGGAGCGAGACGGGCATTTTGCGAACATCGCACAGGCTTCTTGTGGTAGTCTTAAAGCGCAGTGTGGCGCCGTACACAGCTATACACGCAGCCGTAGCACACAGCTGCTCGGGGTTGTGTAGTGTCACCTTAACGGTTCAGGGGGTAAGGGGAATGTATGGTTTTGAGGAGGGTGCAATTAAGGCACTCGCGATGGATTGTAATGCCATTGTAATGCCATGATTACTATTATAAGTAATACAAATAATAATGGTCACAACAGCATGGACCTCTGATGTTATGCTAGCTGTGCACATTATACCGGCGGACCATGCAAAGTTCAATACAGTAAGGATATAACTGTCTGGGTAACTTCCGATAAGCGTGTATGCGTTATAAATAGTACATTGCTGACTGCACATAGTAATCATGGTATCTTAAGTAACATTGCAATCATTCTGTGTAGGTAGGTTCAAACGGACTTTTATAATCTGTAATCTATTTCCAGTCATTTGATTCAATTTCAATTCAATTTTATTTCATTCAGTTAAAAAGACAACATTACATATAACAATCAGCTATATAACATAAAATACACATTAAGAACATATTGGACAAGGACATAAAATAAACTGAATAGGTTGCAATCTGAAAGGAAACATAATTCTTGTATAAAGGTTGACCCTTTTTTTATAATTAAACAAAATGAAATATATTCGTTACTAAACATTATATAATACACAAATCAAGACAACAAACGTACAGACAAATAAAATATGTCTAGAACTCAAATGATAAATTTAACAAAAATAAATATATTATACCTACGTATAAATACATTTACACTAGCAGAATTATGTATGTAATGAGGTAGAGTGTTCCACAGAAACGGTCCTTGGAAAATTATTGTGTTTTGGTTTAGTACTGTACGAGTCAATAGCAAATGAAAATTCTGAGCATTTCTAGTATTATAACTATGAATATTTCAGTTTAGTATAAACAATTTGGAAATGAAATCAGGAAGAAGATTGTAATGACATTAAAAGAAACACCTGCCTGTAAGAATATTGGATTGGTATGGGCAAGAAAAGAAGAATGATTAATAATTTTTATTGCACGTTTTTGTAATTTAAACAATCTATCTTGATGAATTAAAGCAGCATTGCCCCCAGACAATAACATCATAGAGTAAGGGTACAAAATTGCATATATATAGTATATCATTTTGGAAATACATTTAGGGAGAGATGTCAATCTGAACATGACACCAATACTTTTATACAATTTGTTGCATATGTCACCAACATGATTTGACCAAGAGAATTCATCATCAATAATAACACCCAAGAAACTCTCTGAATATTTACAATACCAAGTTTGATTGTTATTGAATCTTTGGTTTCTTCTTTGTTATACATAGATTGACCTCATTATCTTTTTAACATTTTAAATCGAATCATCTACTGTAATCTACTGAGCATCTTTGATAGCGAAAAAATATATTTCAAATCCGAAATAATGAAAATTACAATTTACACTTAGAATTGTTTGTAAAAGAGTCATCGCTATATTTAATATTCTCATGAGAATTTTAACGTGGAAGCTTACCGTTTGCTTAATTATTTCTGTAAAGCGCTTCGAGCAATTCGTTGGATGTTGCGCTATATAAAAGACAATTGTATGTATGTATGTATGAACTG